TAGCACAACATAACTTCAAGAATCACACTTCCAGTAATAGTAGCTGATAACCGCCAAGATGTTTCTGAAAAGAGAACGTGCTTATTTTACCAACAACTAAAAGAGCAATTAAGAAACAATATTGGGTACATTTCCAGGAAGGAAACATTTCAGATTAAAAAGAAAAGAACATACCCCCAGCCCTTTACCATCACTTGTGAAACTTGCTCAAACCACAGTTTTATTTCGTCTTTTCAACTTTTGCTTGGTTTTAGATGAGGAATTTCCCACCCCCCCCCCTTGGGTATCAAAGAAGTTGATTACACCTCTCCCACTAGAATTGTGCAATGTCTTTAAATAGTTCTCCTAAAGTCTGTTTTCCATTATCATTATGAATTTCACAATACGTTTCCAAATGTACTTTTGGATATTTTTATCCAAAACACTTCTCCAGTGTTGTCAACTCTTGATTACTCAGAACATTTTGGAAGGTAATATTGTTAAGATTGCTTCCTTTTTTATGTAATAATATTTTCAAATAAATTATAAAATCCGTAAACAGAATCTGACTGCTCATATGGAAGACTTCTTTAACTTACTTTCTAGTATTATTCTATTTATAGAATAATCAAATGTTAGAAATTGAAAAAGCCATAGTCATCATTAGTTGTAACGTCTGTATTTTATAAAAGAAAAGAAAATCACTTGCCAGGGACGATATAGCTTGCCAGTAGAAGAGCCAAGGTTGCAATTCAGTTGTCTTGACCCCAAGTCTAGCATTCTTTCACTTCACTCGATTATTATTCTCCCTGACTATAGTCCTTCCTCCACATTAGGCCCACCTCCGCCTTCCAAAAGAGCTTGTTTACCCTTGCCCTTCTTTGATTGAGTGACTGTTGATCAGGAAATGGGATGGCTAATGACTAGGTCAGATCACTGGAAGCCTCTCTGAACATACAAGAACATGTTGCCTACTGAGAGAAAGAGACAAGTGCATCTGTTACATACAGTGTGACATGTGCCAGAACAGAGGTAAGGGAAATGTACTCTGGGGCCTCAGAAATGAAGGCAACAAAATATGAAAAAGTTGGAGGAGCTATCTAGAATGAGTGAGTCTTGAAGGCTGCTGGAGGTTCACTCAGAAAAAGGAAAGCATACACAAAGGCAGAAGCTAAGTAGAAGTTAAGAAAAAGAGGTGATATTTATCAGAGCATCTACCAGGTGCAACAACTCGAGAAAGGAAGTATAATTGTCTCTTTTATTGAGAAAGTTCAGAGTTGGGGACCTTATTCTAAAAATTTACTGAATGCTAACTACGTGCCAGACATTGTTGCTTTACTTATATTATTTAGGTCAATCCTAACAACAAAATTTATTTATTTATTTGTTTATTTATTTATTCATTCATTCGTTCGTTCTAACAACAAAATTTATAAGGGAAGTACTACTGATATTACACACAAAGAAACCAAGTCTCAGAGAAATGAAGCAATTGTTCAAACTTCCCAGTCCAGTAAATTGAGGTAGGGGAGGTGTGGTGCAAGACTAGGCTCTCCTTGATTCTGAAGCAGATTCTAACCAAGATACGGAATTCATAGGTCCGTTGTAGCAGAGGTACAGGAAGGTTACAGACAGATCAAAGATGTCCTTAGATGTCAGAGTGAAGAGAGAGAGCTTCATCCCGGTGGTGCGGTTTTTAAGTAGAAAGTTATTTGATCAGATTTATATTTTAGGAAGATGTTCAGGCAGCGACATTCATGGTGGAATGAAGAACAGGTCTGAAGGCTGAAGGATCAGTAAAGGGCTTTGTAAAAGCCCGAATGAGAGATGGAAAGTCCAGATCTAAGAGAGGGCAATGCTGATGGAGGGAGGGGGAAATGAGGATTTTTAAGGAGTAAAAGCCAAACATCATGGTTTTCATTTGGATACTGGAGGAGATAGAGGGAGAAGAAGGAATCAAAGTGATCTCTGAGGTCAGAGAACTAGTAACCATGAAATGAAATATAGCATTGGGAACAATGACTTTCTTTTACATAAAATTTTAATTTACTTTTCATTGTTTTTGCCCAAGTAATACCTATTCAGTGTAGCAACTCTAGAGAATGTAGATCAACAGAAGTGAATCTGAAAGTCTCATAATTCTACCAGGAATATATATATATATATATATATATATATATATATACCATGTAAATATAGCCTTAAAGATCATTTCCTTCAAGTCTTATATATGTACTTATAAGCCAAAAAAGGATCACATAATGTACATAAATGTTTGAAACCAGCTTTTTTTTTAACCCTTGACCACATAATTTGGATGATTTTCTATGTCAAGAATTGTTATTTTTGTGGCTAATATTCCACTGGATAGATGTGTCGCAAGAATTTAATAAACTCCTCATCTCTTGACATTTGTGTGATAGCCAGTGCAGAATGTGCAATTATAAACAACAATTATACATACATGTTTACTTACCTTTATGTGGGTCAAATTCTTAGAAATGAAGTGCTTTATCAAAAGGAAAGCTCCATTTGAGGCTTTCGATGTCTACTTTTAGCTTGTCCTACAGAGTTGGGGGGATCCTATTGCCAGTAAGCCTGTGAGCAAATAGGTTCTTTCCTTGGATGCAATGTTGTTTTTCTGCTGAAGTATTTTTCATAGGTCACATACCATTATAACCATTTTTATAATCAAGAATTGCAGAGGCATGATTATTTTTTTCTGATAATTACATTATATTATGAATCTTGTCTTTTCTTATTTTAGCCTATTATAGTGGTTAATACAAGGGTTTTAACATCCAAGAGACCTGCCTGGATGGTTTTTGAGGCACAGCACATGTAGTGGTAAAGAACATGGACTTGATAAAAATTATCTAGGTTCAAATCCCAGCTCTGCCATTTACTCAATGTAACTTTGGCAAGTTAAAACCTCTTACTTCCTGCCTTATTTTTCTCCTCTATAAAATGAGATTAATAATACTAACTACTTCATAGGCTTTTAAGGGGATTAAAAAGATAATATTTATAAAATATATAAAACATTTCCTGTGACATAGTAAATGCCATATAAATATTTGCTTTAATATTCTAGCTCTATCCTTCCTCTCAATTTTGTTGTAAACCTTAACAAAATCCTTTATAGGGGCACCTGGATAAATTCAGTGGTTGAGCGTCTGCCTTGGGCTCTGGTCATGATCATAGAGTTCCGGGATCGAGTTCCTCATCAGGGTCCCTGCAGGGAGCCTGCTTCTCCTTCTGCCTATGTCTCTGCCTTTCTCTCTGTATCTCTCTAATGAATAAATAAATAAATAATCTTTTAAGAAATTCCTTATAAAAAAAAAACAAAATAAGCCAGACCAAAATGATAAAAAGTAATAAATAAGTAAGTCAGACCTTATGTTCCCAGAAACAAGCCTTAAACAAATTGACAACAAGGAAGAGGAAAGGAGTGTGCTATCACTTAAAAACATTTGACTTGCTAATTAAAAAATGTAAATGTAATTTTGAATATTTTGTCATAAAAACGCAGTAAATCAATGTTAAGTATAAAAAAATGCTCTAGCTCTATCACCTACTTAGTAACCTCCATCAAGTCTAAAAATCTAAGCCTTAATTTTTCATCTTTTAACATGGACACAATACTAAGAAAATTAATGCATTTATTAATAACAATATCTTTAATACTACTTACTAATACTGTGTAGACTAAATGAGACAATTTAAATAAAATATCATCCTATTAGAACACCTTACTGGGTGCTACTGTTTTTAAATACTCAAACGCATACTTGACAGTGCCACATTGAATTAGCTGAGCATTGCCAGTCCCTCTGTTCTGCAATTTCCTTTTTTATTTGAATTCTCAATTTTGAGTTATTTTATTGATGTATAACTCCAGAGAGGAAGTTACAGCTTCAAAGCTACTTTGTCAGTGCAGAGGGAGGGTATGAAGCAAGGTCAATTAGATGCTGATTTCACTATTTTTGTGTGCCTTTCTCTGAGCTGGGGAAAGCAGAGTCTTAGTTCTTTTTTCTTCAAAGGGCCTATTTCCCAGCAGTTGGATTATTTCCCTCAAACTCTTCACTTTCTCCTGTCTTTAATCACATGCTTTGAATAGAAACAGTGGGCTCAGTGCTTTTTGCTTATGTAGTTCTCCTCTGCTGGGAGAGGGTGCAGGAGTGCTGTGGGGGTGGTGGGGCTGCACAGGGCAGGTCACGAGAATATGGACTCAGCAATTTTTATTCAGTTTTTTTTCACATGTCTCATATCACTGATTCCTTTTAGTTCCCAAGGTGCATTGCTATTTTTTCCCCCACAAACAAGCCCAGACATCTCATGCTGTGTTGCGTTTTAATTGTAACTCATTGTGGGACTTTGGAGGCTACATCACTCCTTGAATGGGTAAAGATATCACACACACACACACACACACCCCACAGTGCAATATTACTCAGCCATCAAAAAGGATATTTGCCATTTGCAACAACATGGATGGAACTAGAGTGTATTATACTAAGTGAAATAAGTCAGTCAGAGAAAGACAAATACCATATGATTTCACTTATATGTGGGATTTAAGAAATAAAACAGATGAATGCAGGGGAAGTGGGGGCAGAGAGAGGGAAGCAAACCATAAGAAACTCTTAACAAAGAACAAATTGAGTGTTGATGGAGGAAATGGGTGGGGATGGGCTAGATGGGTGATGCGCTGTAAGGAGGGCACTTGTGATGAGCACTGGGTGTTATATATTAGTGACAAATTACTAAATTCTACTCCTGAAACTAATATTATACTATATGTTAACTAACTAGAATTTAAATAAAAATTGGAATGAAAAAAAAACCCTCAAAACTACATCATTCTTACAGAAGGAATCTTTGTCTCTGGCTTTGTTTGAATTATACTATTATTTCTATGAAAAGATATTCATTGGATTTTTTTCTGCCTACTTAGTCTCAAAAATGCTGTTAACTATCAATTCATGTGCCATCAATTAATGTAAAATGGACTTCCACAGCTTGCCCGTCTGGGACGTACAAACCAGAAGGTTCTCCAGGAGGACTCAGCACTTGCCTTCCATGTCCTGATGAAAATCACACCTCTCCACCTGGAAGTACATCCCCGGAAGACTGTGTCTGCAAGGAGGGATATCGGGCATCCGGCCAGACCTGTGAAGGTCAGTCTCTCACATTTGGCAAATAAGAAATATAAAAGCTGATCTCTTTGAGAGAAATGATGCCAGTGTTTCCATCCAATTCATTTTAAGTGATCTTTAGTATTCCTTTCTCTAATCTTATTTGGGAGAGGTTCTTTGTTTTTATTCAGTAACATTTCTTATCATTGCATAGACCTATATCTTGCTCCAGAGAAAGTGGATCTGAGACCCCCAGGAGGTTAGAACCATGAAACCAGAAAAATTTAGTACTTGAAAAAGATCTAAGATGAATCTAAAAGCTACAAATCTAATAACAAATTTGATAACAAATGAGCTGGTTTTTGGCTCTAGTGATATTCAAATCCATTTAAAGAGAATATTTTTATGAATAAAATATCTTGATGTTACTCGTATAAAAAGTTAAAACTATTTAATTAGCCTGTCAATGTACCAGAGGCTGTGGGATTTGAAGCAGACATACTTTGACTTATTATTTGTTTCATGTCACCTTAATTAAGAAGGAAAATAGCTAGTGACATATGAAGATCAAGAACTGGAAAGTCTCATATACACCTAGATAGCAAAACATTTTTAGAGCTTAAAAGATAATATTTAGTTTGTTTAAAAAATGTAATTGGAAGTAAATGCATACCTAATAGGAGTGAGATATAAGGCTTTTTCTTCCAAATATGCACTTAGAAATTGAAATGCAGTAAATAGGAATGATGTGGGTAATTGAGCTGTGTGTATAAAATGTCCTCTTACACAAACAAAGAAAAGGAGGCTGCTTCAAAGGCTAATTTTGCTTTTTTATTTTCTTTCTGTAAATGTTAGTGGTCCACTGCCCTACCCTGAGGCCTCCTGAAAACGGTTACTTTATCCAGAACACTTGTAACAACCACTTCAATGCAGCCTGTGGGGTCCGATGTCACCCTGGATTTGACCTCGTGGGAAGCAGCATCCTCTTGTGTCTACCCAATGGTTTGTGGTCCGGTTCAGAGAGCTCCTGCAGAGGTATGCAAACTGCCAGTTCACATTGTTTATTGATTGCCTTGCTTGATTTCCTCGACTTAAACTTTAATGGACCAGTTGAGCTCTTTGTTTCTTGTAATTTCATAGACCACAGACCACAGAAAGAGAAAAAATTATAGGACAGTTGAAGTCAGGACTACCAAGTTCAATTGACCACATCATCATAAACTATGCCCTCTATGTTTCTTTTATGAACAAGCAAAGAGCAAAGAAAGGGGCTTCCTGGGAAGGAAATGGACAGGTTACCCCAAACCTCAGATTTCAAGCAGCCAAGATAGGTTGCCAAGGAGAGTCTTGGAATGGTTGGAATGAGGGCTTTGACGACTAATGTCACTGGAGGACTGGGAACCACACCAGGGTTCTGCAACGTGAGCAGTGAGCCAACTTGTATGTCTCCAGCCTTTGCTCAGAAAGACAGCATGCTACAGAAAGTGGGAATTTGCTAAAGTGAGATCCCAAAGAGCGTAGTCAGGCCTATCGATACAGAGATGGTACCTTGAATAGAACCTAAGGCTCCCACATCAAATAAAGAGAAAAAAACAAATTAGAATGGTACTTTAGTTCACCTCCACTCTTGCCATCCCTAGGATCTCCTGCACACACAACTTCCTAAGGTTTTTTTTTTTTAATAAGTACAGTCTAAAAAAAAAAAAGGTTTTTTATTTGAGAGAGAGAGAGAGAGAGCATGTGTGAATAGTGGGGAGAAGCAGAGGGAAATAATCTCAGGCAGACTCCCCGCTGAGTGCAGAGCTGGATGGGGGGCTCACTCTCATGACCCTGAGATCATGAATTGTCAGGTGTCCCTGGGCAATTTCTTAAGGTTTCACAAGTAGAGTTGGAAGAGAGGGTTATCTAAGAAGTCAAAGGACTTGAGAATTTACCCTCTGCCTACAGTTGCCAGATGAAACACAGGACAGCCAGTGAGATGCGAATTTTAGACAAACAACAGTTTTTAGGATAAGTAAGGCTCATACAAGATTTGGGACTTACTATGCTAAAAATGAGGAGTTGATTTTCTAAAACTCAGTTTTACCTGACTCTCCTCATTTGTGTTTGTTTTGCTACATCTGGCAGCCTCACCCCTACCATGTCCCCCAGGCATCTTTTAGCAGTACGCTTTGGGATTTGATTGCTCCAGGACCCCACAGCACACAGCTCCCTAGAGTCCAGTAGGGAGCTTTCTCCCCTTTCATCAGGGAAGGTGATCCACTCAGGTTCTGAGGTCATTTGTGAACCCCAGGAGACCACCACTGCAGTTATCAGCTACCAGCATGGAGCCTATCCATAAATACGAACCTGCTTGACTCAAGTCCCAAGCCATTCTCTTCTCTGTATCTACAAAGCAAGAAGAAATCAGCAAAATTATACAAGGGGGACCTGAAAGAAAAGGGGATCAAATGGAATCACTGAGATTCCAAGGTAGTCACAGTGGTAACTAAGGCCAGGATTCCAAGAAATGGGAAAAATCTGAAAACAAAAGGACTTCTTGGGGGCAAGGGGTGAGGGAGTGGGTAAAAGGTTGCAGAACACAATGCATGGCCATAGTTAAAAGCCAAATTAATAAGTTAGAAAGCCAGCTCAAGAAACTCTTCTGAAAGTAGAGCACAATTTCAAAGATTAAAAAAATACTAAATAAAGTGACATGCGAATAGTTCCAGGAAATAGACTCTTCTCATGTTAGGAACCTAGAGAGAGAATGGCATGAAGGAGAACATATCCCCAAGCTGCAATCTTGAAAATACACACAAGTAAAATCTTTGATATTCAGCTTAACATCACTTAATGAGGGCTATTTTGAAAAAAAAAAAAAAGATTGAAAACAGATCCATGTCTGGAAATAATCTCAGTGAAATCTCTGAATGCCCTAGGAAAACAGAAAATTGTCCCTGTTTCACAGTTAGAAATAAGTAACATTACCTACGGAGGCAAAAGGATCAGACTTGAGCCTCTGATTAGCCATTGTAGATATGAGAAGATGAGAGTATGTTGCCAGAATTCTGAGGGAAAAAAATCAGACCCTAGATTTCCAAACCCAGACAAGCTACTGTTTATGTGGGAAGGCCAAGGAAAGACATTTTCCATCCTGCAATCTCGAATGGTAAAAAGCCAACATGCCATTACTGAGAGAATTAATCGTAGGAAGCCTCCTGTAAAGCCAACACTTAATAAGCTCTGTGTGAGATCTCTACCCCTTCTTCCAAATACTTCATGGCAGAGGGTGGAAGACATTGCATTTTAACTTTCCACGTACTGGCCTTCCAAAGAAGAGTGAGAGAAGCAGGTAGACAGCCGCTTTAGGATAAGATCTGACCCCTGCCTCTTTACCTTCCATAGTCTATACGCACCCTGGGCCTCAGATCCTGCACTAACGCGGTAAGAAATGGCTGTGTCCTCTCAGGAAGCCATCCTTTGACAAGCTGTTCCCACAACTTTGAGTGTCTGAGAGCCCTGCCTTTGCTCTCGGTCCCTAGATATAAACCCTCTGCTGTTATCAGGCTTCTCAGCCTGGATGGATGGCCTCTAACTTCTGTATGCACGTCCACAAATCTGTTCTGCCCCCATTAGAGCCCCTGTGCTCTGTGTGTCAGGGTCAGTCAGGGAAGCACAGGTACCATGAGTGTTGTGGGATAAGGGATTTATTTCAGGAATCAGACCTTACCCAATTTTGGAAGAGCTGGCAAACTGAAGATCTAGAAGAGAAGCTGGAGCATCGGGTGTTACTACCAACTCAATCTGAGACCAGGTCTGCCCAGCTACGGGGGTGGAACTCTAAAGGGGAAATGTGTTGGGAGGTCTAAGAGAAGCTTTGCTTGGGTGTAACCACACCCCATGGCTCCACAGCCAAGAACCTGGCAGTGAGTAGACCTTCTTAGGTCTACACAGTTAGCAGTTGGGACTTGGAACAGAGGCGAGCAAAGACAAGCTGGAACCCATGGGACTTGTCTGCATTTGTCCATCACTGAGTCTGGCTACAGTGACCACTGCTTCCCTTTCACTTTGTAAAATCCAGGGCAGGTTCTTCTTTTGAACAACTCTAACCTGGCCTACGGTAAGGGGATTCTCACAGCCTATTTCTTAGCTTAACCAATGTCTTCTAATACAAACCAATACACTTAAATTTATTAATCAACTTATCTATCACCTCTGCAAGACTGTGAGTTCTTCATGAGCACAGAATGTATCTTTTCCTCTCAGTCCTTGGTTATACCTCTGGTGAATGATCAAGAACTTGAATTTGACAAATATACATCTTGATAAGTGCACTGATAAATAGATAAATTGGTGGTCTGCCTGTGTCACTTCCCATTATGCATTTTTAAAAAGCATTCTTGTTCTTATTTATTTAATTTCAGTTGATATATAAGTAAAATAATTTTAATCGAAGGAGAGAGGCTATAGGATCATGGCTCTTCTAAGGTAGCTTCAGTTTCATCCCCAAAGCTATTGTTTAACTTACCAGTGTACAAAGCTGTCCTGAATGAAGATGCTTAATCCCTTCCTCTGGCTCATCATTAGTGAATTTAGTTACTTGAGATACTGTTCTTTGAAATATATACCATATTTCATTAATTCAAAAGCACATTCCCCTACATTTTAACATCTCTAAAAAACCAGATGCACTTTAAAATCAGTGGCATTAAATCCTTTCCTAGATATTATTATTTCTTTATTAGTGGCACATAAAATAATGTTGTGCCTCATAACTGAGGCATCTGGGATTCAATGAAATATGGTAGCTGCACAGGGATTCACTTCTGCTTCAGGGTGGTAACATAGAAAATGTAGTATTTTACAGACCTAATTTAAATCTAGTCATAGGAACAGTTACCTTTTTCTTGAAAATCTTTCTGAAAGTGAGACAGAAATGAAAGATCAGTGTATAATATAAAGCCTTTTACAAATTTCATGTTGCATTGTTAATGTTTAATAGTGTTAAATAATACTCAATAAGCTTGTCTTATTCCTACTCTGTATTCATCATTAAGCATTTATATTCTTTTTCAATTTTATTGGAACTATACACTTATTTCTAAACTAGTAAGGATTTTTTTGTGGTTTCCTAATGAGAACTTGCTAAACCACATCATGGTAAATTAAATTTTGTGATAATATTTATCCTCAGAAAATGGTTTAAGCAGTGAGAATCCTGCATTTAATATTAGATTTGTCTTATTTTCAATATAGATTTTATTGCAATTTGAAGATTGACAGGAGCTGTTTACCTGGGGAAAAATCTAATTAGTCTTTAAATCAGAACCAGAGCAGTTCTCACATTGTCTACTTCTTAATAGACTGTTTTCTTGAGAGACTAAATTGCTATTTTCTAAAAAGGCCAAATAAAATGTAAGGATTGCTTTAACATGAATGTACATCAAGAAACACTTATTGCAGAATTTTTCAGCTTGTTGAAATAAAACATTTTTAATTGAAACTAATAAATAAGTCTGTTTCTATTAAAAACATTCTTGGTTGAAAAGGAATATAAGATGTTTAAGGACTAAATAGGAATTCTTGCATATGCTTTGTTTCCCCAAGGAGCAATGAAAGTTTATTGAAACCAACATTTGAGAAGCAATATAATTTGTATGTGTATGAAACACCAACTCTAATTTACTATCAGTACTCTTGAGAGATGTTGCAAATCCATTTCATCTTGAGTTGGAAAGCTGAAATGATTTCAGCAGTTTACTAAATCTAAAAGTAGTTGTTAATATGGCTTTCCAGATTTTATATATGTATTGATCATAGGAATTTATCTGTTCACCTGGCACTTGGCACTGTGCTACATATGATGGACACACTCAACAATAGTCAAAATGTGGAAGGCAAAATATTTCTATGCATCTGATGCACTCAACAATGATTCTACTTATGCAATGGACACATTCAATAAACATCAAGATGTGGAAGGGAAAATATGCCTACTCATCTGTCATTAGTAGTTGACTTCTATCCAAGTCATATCAGGGATTGAAAGGCTAAGGCTTATGGTTTAACCCTTAATCTGATTCTTGAATTTTCTCTAAGAATCCCCAATCCTAAATATATATTGATTTTTTTATTTTTGTTATTTTAAAAAGATTTTTAAATTTATTTGACAGAGATTGCACAAGCAGGGGGAGCGGTAGGCAGAGGGAGAAGGAGAAGCAGGGTGTCGCTGAGCAGGGAGCCTGATGTGGGGCTAGATTCCAGGACCCTGGGATCATGTCAGAGCCGAAGACAGATGCTTAACCGACTGAGCCACCCAGGCATCCCCTAAATACGTATTTATTGCACCCAATATTTATGCTCTGCTGACTAATATCATTTGAATAGTTCCTTTAGAATAGGTCCTGCCAAACAGTGACTTCAGTTGAACATGCTCTAGACATCCTGCTCCAACTATTACAAGGTTAAGCTTTCATTACATATATATGCTTGATATGAAAAATTGGCAAATAGAGAAATGTAGAAGAAAGAAAAATACATCTTATCCAGATTCCCTCCAAAATTGAGTCCCAAATGATTTTGTTCAAAAATATCTAGATTGCTATGTTGTCCTTTGGTCTTTAGTGTTGTTGAAATGCTATTGTTGATAATGAAACTTTGCTCTTCTGTAAAGATCATTTTTGTTTTTTTTTTGTGTTATGTCTGGTGTTTTTAGGATTATATCTGTGAGCAAATGAGTGTATGTGACCACCATTAGGCATATCCAACAGGAACGCGCTCTCTTTTTCTGTCCATATTTCTGTTCATGACAGGGATGTACATGCCATCTGACTGAAAGGGTAAATTTCCATGGGGTTCTGCATCCTCCCCGACCCCCTGCTCTTTATTCTCCTTTCCCCCTCTTCTTAATTTATCTCTCTCTCCCCATTCTTCAGCTTCCTCCTCCCTTCTCTGCACAATCCCTCCCTACTTCATTTTTCCTTCTTCTCCCCTCCCCTCCTCTTCTTCTCTTCTACCTAACTTCCCCTCCCCTTCTCTTACCTTTCTTCTCCTCTTTTCTTATTCTCCCACTTCCGTTTTCCTTCACTCTTGTCCTCCTTCCCCTGATTAGAAATCCTGAACAGAGTAGGTTTAAGCTAGTACTGGAGGAAAAGAAGTGTAGAAAGAGCAACTCTTCAGAGATGATTTTTATCTACGGGAACATACAATAGTTTGGAGATCCCAGTAGGATCTGGAAATAGATGGAGTTGAAGCCCTTGAAGGAGTGATCCAAGAAGATAGGAGATTGTTGTCACAGAGTGGGATGCTTAGATGGTGACGGCCAGATCTAGAGGATAAGGCAGTGGAAGGGGGGCTGAGATAGGGTGAAGGATATAGTTATTGGAGAAGAAGTGAAGAATAGGATTCCTGGATACTGGAATGATCATCTAGATAAAATATATGAAATCACCAGTGTGTGTATGTGTGTGAGAGAGAGAGACAGAGACAGAGACAGAAACAGAAAGAATAAAATCTTCAAAGAATAAGAAGTGGCCCAGAGGTCAGCAGATGATTAGGGGGAGAGAAAAGATGTTGAATATTGGATATGACACTTTGGGGGAGCTGAAGGGTGTAGAAAGGATAGAGGAAGGGAGAGAGAAAACTCTGGGAAGGCACAAGGAACAAAGACACCCCTTTCACCTGTAGGCCTTGTCTATAAGAGGCAATAAGATTTTGATGAGGGTAAGAAAGTGAAAGAAAAGACAATAAGTGAAGTTTAGGATATGAGAAGATTTACTGAAGACTGATCATGTATTCCAGAGGACAGGTGCAAGAGTTTGTAAATTAGATTTGAACTACATGGGCAGCCCCGGTGGCGCAACGGTTTAGCGCTGCCTGCAGCCCCGGGGTGTGATCCTGGAGACCTGGGATCGAGTCCCACGTCGGGCTCCCTGCATGGAGCCTTGCTTCTCCCTCTGCCTATGTCTCTGCCCGTCCCCCCCCCCCCGAATAAATAAATAAATCTTAAAAAAAAAGATTTGGACTATATGGGGGTGATCCTGGTAGTTGAGGGATAGCTTTGGAGCCTTGGGCTTCCTAAGAGATCATCAGAAACAGGAATATAGGGTGTCATGGGATTCATTGAGATAGACCCTAAGAGACAGTATGGGATTCTGGTGGGCTGGGAGGTAAGAAAAATCTTGCCAGGAGACCTTAGAGCACAGATGCTGTTTGGGGGCCTGCAGAGGCAGGAGCAGTAAGATGCCCTCTTAGAGCTTCTCTGATTTTGTATTGAGGCTAGCGAGCTAGAATTAGCAGTACTGGGAAAATACATGCTTCTCTGGATGCCCCATGGCACTTCTGCTGATGGTGTTGAGCCTGACTGAGGCACAGGGGCATTTCCAGCATCAAGGGCCTAGTAAATACCCTCTAACTGCTCTCTTATTGTGATTTTTGAAGCTAATAGAAAGAGGAATTATGTCACCAGTCGTATCTGCTCACTTACCAGACCAGGGAAATGCGATCCTAGGCCACACGCACTCTACCTCTGAGCAGGGCTGGAGCGCACACAAATCCCATGAACTGATAGAGGGGATAGATCTTTCCCTAGGAAATCAGCAAAGGAAAAGTGAATGGGTGCTGGGCACAGGAAATTAGGAATTATGTACAGCTACTGGTATCAAAGACCCAAATAACAAAACCAATTAAGAGTTTATTTTTATCTCATCTAAAAGAAGAAGAGAAACTGGTAATCCTAAATTGGTGCAGTAGCTCCATTGTCATCAGAGACCCAGGCTTCTTTAATTTTTTTGCTCTACCATCTTAGTGCATGATAGTTATCCTGTAATAGTATCCTATATTTATACTGTAATATGCTAGGGTACTAGCCCTCATGTCCATATTTCAAGACAAAAGAGGAGGAGATGGCAGAAAGTACTCTCAATTGAAAGAGTCTTCATTAACTGACATTAAGGAGGGCCTGTGATGTAATGAGCACTGCTTTTATATAAGACTGATGAATCACTGAACTCTACCTTGAAACAAATAATACACTATATGTTAATTAATTGAATTTAAATAAAAAAATAAAATTTCATACTAAGTCTTTTAAAAAAAGTCTCCATTTAAAAGCTTTTCCAGACATCCCACACAGCCTATATATCATTGGCTGTCATTTGTTGTGATGGAGGTAAGCAGTTATTACCTTCTAGCTCTTTGTAGTCTATGTTGAATAAAACTGGGAGAATGTTATTGGGTTGGCAACTGGCCATCTTTGCCATAGCAGCAAAACACACAAACAAAACAATGTTAACGCATACATCAACACTGGCATAATGAATGAGGATTTGCAGTAAGTGTCTTGGGTTAAAAAGCTAAAAGGACCAGAGTTACAGTCAGGGAGGAAGGTACTGACATTTAAGATTGCAGAGGCTGGACAGCTTTTCAGAGGCTGGGAACATTAAAAGACCCAGAATATGCCCATATGCCCATGATATCTGAGAATGGAGTTAATCATGAACCTGAATCCCAGTGCTGGAAAAGACTCCTTCCTTTTGTTGGATCATATTCTGGAAAATCACAGCAAAAGCCCAGCTGAGGGTTGCAGATACCTCACTGTCAGCCACTGTCAGCCACCTCCAATCTACAGGTGTCATCATCCATCTAGGACCAGACTCAAGTTTCCCTCCTGTGGGCAGGTGGCTGGCTGAGCACAGTGCTTTTGCGTGGGCAGCACGCCTGACAAAACACATGTTTATAATTGTCTCACGCTAGCTCAGAACACGGTGGTGCATTACTTACTCCTTGCCATTTTAAGAAAAGGTATGTTCTTGCTTGCAATGTGTAGGAATTATTAAACTTATAATTTTTGTCTTTATTTTGTAAAATGTGACCTAATTGTTTTCATTTTATATAGTAAGAACATGCCCTCATCTCCGCCAGCCCAAACATGGCCGCATCAGCTGTTCTACAGGAGAAATGTCCTATAGGACGATGTGTTTGGTTACCTGTGATGATGGGTACAGACTAGAAGGAAGTGCTAAGCTTACTTGTCAAGCAAATGCCCAGTGGGATGGTCTAGAACCCCGGTGTGTGGGTAAGTCATGGAAGGCATGGTGCCTTTGGTGATTTATTTCTCTTGCTCTCTGATTTCTACTCTTTTCTGTGAAGACCTAGAACCAAAAATTGATTCATAATGGATGTAATAACTCCACATACCTATATATGGGTGCACAGAGACACAGGCACATAAACTAATACATTGTTTAATTTCTCTCCACTGGTAAAAACACTTCCACGCCACGATCCCATTTTCCAAGTCACTGAAGTTTACAGCTGCAAATGGTGGTGATTTTTTTAACTTTTTTTTTTTAACAAATCTAACAATTTGGATAGATTTTTTTAAAAAAAGAAAATGCTGTGTGATCCCTTGTTTTGTTAAACACCAGTGACTTTTACCTTGTTGATGAAAGGATAAGATTAAGAACCAGTGAAACTTAGGATAGACCATAATATTCTCCTTCATCGGAAGATTTTTTTTTTTTGCCTTGTCCTTCATGAAGCTCATGACATCTCACTACCGAAATTGGGTCCAGAATGAATAACTTTAGGAACTTTTCCAGTTTGTTGCTTCTTTTACGTTGTAGATACAAATAACAATGGTAATAATGATGATGATGATGATGAAAGAGAGAATAACTGCTATTTAGTGAATCCTTATTGTATGTCAGATATAGTATATTTAGGAGCATGGCAGGTGTATAATTAAATTGATGTAGAAGTGTTGGGGCTGGGAGTCCATAGCTAGGAAAGAATTCTTAAGATGTCTTGGGTGCAACCAGGTGATTTTATTAAAGCACGGGGACAGGACCCATGGACAGAAAGAGCTGCACTGGGGTTGTGACAGGTGACTGACTATATACTTCCAAGTTGGGAGGGGGTAGGGATAGCACAAGCCTCCAAGGTAGTTTGGAAACAAGGATCCTGAGGGGGCCAGCTATTGTTAGGAAAAGGTGATGTATTGCTGTTTAGTTAAAAACTCAGTTATGAGATCCTTTAGAAAAGTATCAGTGGGCCATATGCTTGGAGGATGATTTGCTAATATATATCATGGGGAGCGTAGAGATAAAAGAAGTTTCCAAAGGAATTTTTATATATTAAAGGAGACTTACAGGATCCTGGGGGGTCAGACCAAGATTGTCTTTTGCCCTTAGCAAAGAGCCAACATCAGGGCAGCTGAGCTCCTAGAGGAATGTCATTGTGCCTATTTCAAGGACTTGTCAGTGAGCTGTAGGTAGTCAGGAAATTTAAGTTTTTTTCTCTTGCCTTTGTTTCCCATATAAAAATAACCAACTTCCAAAAAAACTAGATATTATAAATATGTCTGTTCCTTCCAAATTGATTTATAGGTTTGTTCTATTATAATCTGGTATTGAATCCATGGTTGATAGAAAAGGAAGGTATCACCAGTAAAGTTGTTGAATTTACAGGGTGTGGGGGGCAGATTCACTTAACAGTCCAAGAATTGACTCTCACTGTGTAAACTCAGAAAAACTGATATTCTCATACTGAGAGGAGATTAATCTCTCCTGGATAGGAAAATGAAATGGACTATGAAACAAAAATTCAATTCATTAGCAATGAGATACCTACTGTTAATGGGACTGTAAGACTTAGGTCTGAGAAGCATCCTGTTTCCCTGTAGGTAGAGGCTACAAGGACACCCAAATCGAGAACACACTTAGGTTGCATAAAACCAAAATAAAAGGAGTTAGCTTCTTCAGATATTCCACAGAATTAAATGAAGTGAAGGTGATGGATCTATCACCATAAAAAAGATGCCTTTAAAATGGGACAATAAAAAAAAATAAAATGGGACAATAAATCTCAATAAACCTCTTTAGTTGGGATAATGTCTCCTTAGGCTAGATTTTCTATGTAAATACTAATGTTTACTCCTGAGAATCACTTCTTTGCCTGTTTCCATAACTCAGTGCCTCTTCTTATGAGAGACCCAATCTTTCATTAAAAATAGTAATATCTCTAATAAGGTTTTCCTGTTGTCAATTCTCTTTAAAATTATTGTGCAGGTCTCTGTAATGATTTAAAGCATATGCAAATCTTGATGGATTTGTGTAACTATCAAAAGAAAATTGAGTCCCTATTTACAGTTAATTGGGGAACAATTTACTGGAGCCTCCAAATTTTGACAGCAACCATAATTACTGTGAAAATTCTGATTTTAAAAAGTTGATAGAAATGAATAGAATGTGTATTGAAAAATAGACCAGCACAAAATAGAAAAATTTTGAACATGACATAAAATGAGGGAGAACTTATTTTTGCCATCATAAGAACCCACAGTAATTAAAATAGAACATTAATTGTACAAGGATGCACAGAACAGTGGAGCTACATATGACCAAATATGATGTAGAAATAAATATTCATTTATAGAAGAATATAACACTCAATAAATTCCAGATATCAATGGCAAAAATGTTTATGTAAAAATTAATTTTGACTCCACTATATACCTACCCCAAAAAAATCACTAAATTATTTTAATTTATTAAATCAAGCAAATTAAGGAGTGAAACATAAGAAAAGATACAGATTTTATGGAGGAGAACTTTCTAATAATATAAAAAACAATCTGAATTTTTAATGGAGAAGAATTTCCTAAGACTAAAAAGAAAAGAAGAATAGATTTGAATACATAAATATTTAAATTTCTGTATTTTAAATGGATTCTTTACATTATTACATCTTTACATTATTAAAAGGCAACCAGCATAAAAAAGCTTGGTTATTTGAAATATATGTAACAGTATCAGTGTTATTAAAAATCATCATTAGTGATTGTTGTTAACATTTTCTAAATTATGGAACCAGACAAAACCACAGAAGTGCATAGATTCCGATACAAAGAGAGATAAGGGAAATGAGTTAAGTGGACAAATGAGAAATTAAAAAATACAATTTTTCAAAGATAAAAAATTGAAGTTGAAAAACTCCTAAAATGGGACACCTGGATGGCTCAGCGGTTTATCACCTGCCTTCAGCTCAGGGCGCGATCCTGGAGTCCCTGTGTAGAGCCTGCTTCTCCCTCTTCCTGTGTCTCTGCCTCTCTCTTTGTGTCTCTCATGAATAAATAAATAAAATCTTTAAAAAAAAGAAAAAAGAAAATTTCCTAGAACCAGTTATGAGATATGGGCTAAATTATACACTGATGTAATTTTATAGTTATAAATCCTTACACTATTAAACAGAAAGAATGAAAATAATTAAACATTAATCCAAAAGTTAGGAAAATAATGATTACAATAGAATTCGAAAGAAATACACAATAATTAAGGAAAATGAGTTATAAAGGGAGATGGGATGCCATAGAATGGCTAAGAGGGAAATCTTTGAATAAGGTCATAGATGTTTATTTTATTTTCTTGAAGGTTTTATTTATTTATTTATTTAGAGAGAGAGCATGAGCTGGGGGAGGGGCAGAAGAAGAGGGAGAGAGAATCTCAAGCAGACTCTGTCCATGCTAAGTGTGGAGCCTGATGTGGAGCTGGATCTCAGGACCCCACAATCATCATCTGAGCCAAAACCCAGGAGTTGGATGCATAACTGACTAGGCCACGCAGGTGCCCCTGTAGTAATAGATTATTTAAATATAAGTAAGAAAAATACAAAACTAAAATTATTCTAAGAAGCTATAACAATATATATATATATATAAGCTATAACTTATATATAAGTATATAGAGGCCTGAAGTTTTTCAAAGAATAATAAAAAACTGTACATAAATTTGTGCACAAAGTTAAAAATCCGTGATATTACTTATGATTTTCTATGAAAATGAAATTTTTAAATGAATCAAGAAAAAAGTAGAAATGCAAGTGTATAATTACTTATAAAAAAACAGAAAATGTGGCAGCCCGGGTGGCTCACTGGTTTAGCACCTGCCTTCAGTCCAGGGCCTGATCCTGGAGACCTGGGATCGAGTCCCACATCAGGCTTCCTGCATGGAGCCTGCTTCTCCCTCTGCCTGTGTCTCTGCCTCTCTCTCTCTCTTTCTCTCTCTCTCTCTCTGTGTGTCTCATGAATAAATAAATAAAATCTTTAAAAAAACAGAAAATGTTATTAGAGTATTAATTTCTCCAAAAAATGATGGAGGGATCAGTGAAACTCTTCTAAACTTTTCAGAAGCAGTAACTCTATACCATATAACTTGGCCCAAATACTGGGAAACTAAATATATTATCAAACTATTACAAATTGCCAACTTGATAGCTACCAATTCATATTCAAAAGAATGGCCTGTCAAAACAAGCAGTTTATCCTAAGTATGCAGAAGGGCTTAAATAAAATTAGATATATTCTATCAACATAATAAATTCATTATAACAAATAGGAGAAATTCATATGGTTACTTAGCAGAGGATAAAAATGTCATTCATCATCATTTAAAACACATTTTCAATAAAATTCTAAGAAACTCATATTGATAATTTTTTTTTTTTTTGCATTTCACACTATTTGTATGAACCAGATTTTTTTTCTTTGTGAAATGTATGCTGGAAAGACTTCTCAGTCTGATGGGCACAGGCAATTTTTTTAAATCTTTCTCATATTTAGTCTTAATTTGGCCCTTTGGAATTTTTCTGTGCTATATCTTTATTCTTTTTTTTTTCATATTGATAATTGACAAAATAAAAAGAATGTCCTTCTTAAACCTGCAGCCACTTATGGAAACAGTATAGGCAGTCTTATGAAATCCAAGGAGAGAAAAGGATGCCCAGAATCATCCATATTGTTTAGCATTGTTCTCAGAGCTGGAGCACTTGTAATAAATCATAGGATTGGAGCTTTGGGGACTTAAAACCATCATCATTTCTAGATTACATGTCTACCCCTAAATGAAATGAATCTACTAAGAGAGTTGAGAGTTCACTGAAGTCATAAGAATACCAAATAAAGAACTTTTCATATACAACGATAAACAGAGTGCACAGTGAAAATCACAATCAGAAGATCCCTGGAAAATAAAAAATAAGGAAGAATAACCTGAAACAACAGTGTGTGGAATTTGTGACACAGATTACAAAATGTTAGAGACAAAAAGGAACACTTTAGAATTTTTATGAAATTTTATCAAAACCTAAGTTCTCTCTAGATATGTATATGGGTAAAATGCAATCTCATTTAATACCCTGAAGAGGGTATTAATACCCACAAAGAGACTTTCTTTGTGCCCCCCTTTTGGAATTTGGAAGTGATTCTTGAGTTTATCTGGAAGAAGATATAGGAAAAATGATGAAAAAAGGGAAGAGTAATAAAGAATAGTAAAGAGAAAGTAGGTCTCCTGGGTTTTAAAATATATACTAAAACTACAAAAGTGAAGAGTTTGCAAATACTGCCATATAGTTCAAGAGGACTGAATAAATCCTGAAACTTAGGAGTTTCATGTTACTAAGGAAGCATCACAGGTCAGTTGAGAAGAAAAGATTTATTCAATTTATAAAATAGAACAATTGGCTAGCTCCTTGGGAAAAACAAATGAAGCAAAATGTAATTCTTATATGTCTTTAATTTACACCAGGCCCTGACATCAATTCTTCATAAATTTTAAAATATAAATTAAAAAATAAACCCATTATAAATGAGAAGAGAGTATAGATAAAACTTGTGACTGTTAACCAATTTCAGAACTTAAGCATAAAAGCAATGGAAATAAAATCAGTAGATTAGATTATATAAAAATTGAAGAAATGCTTACCCAAAATACCCAAATAAGCAAACAATAAAAAAGAGAATATTAACAGGGAACAAAATCTTCAATGATTATCACAGTCAAAATGATAATTTTCTGAATTTAAAAAGAACCATCCCTTAAGTAAAGGATATTGAGCCTCGCATGGTCATTGCATTTGAACCACAAATTTTACTCTAATTTTCCTCTTCATCACAGTAGAACAGAAAGTCTGGGCAGTCATTTGGCACATACTGTGCAAAAATAAAGAAACAAACCAATTTCTCAGGAAAAATTGCTTTTCATGGCACAGGGGTTTGAAAGAAATTTCAGGGAGGAGGCATAGTAGTGAAGTGTTTGGAGAACACAGTCGGCCACGTACCGCAAGGTGACCTTGTTACCCACGTTGATTGTGGGTAACTTCCCCATAATTGTATCTCAGTACTCTCATCTGTAAGTGAAATGAGAACAATTCCCCTTAGTGCAAAGGACTGAATGAGTCAAAACATGTAAAGCACTTAGAATAGTGCTGGGCACATAGTACGTGCCGAGTAAATGTTAACAATTATTACATGGGAAATACAGACTAAAGATGCTGGCAGTGCTGCCAATAGAGTCATAACAAAACAAATAAATGTGCACACATGGGTGGGGACACACACACACACGAACACACACCCTTCATTAAGTCATTGTCGTGATTTTCCATTCCATTGCATTTTGCCTTCCTTCGTCTATTCCAAAGATAACATGAAGGGTCAGGGCCCCAACTATGACCCTATGATTTGAGGGAGGGAATAAACCTTTTCTCATAATGTGCTCACTTAAAGATGGAAGCAAAAAAAAACTCATAAAATGGAGATTTATTGCTGAATATATTGCTTAATCCATGAAAGAGGAACTCTAATTTACTGGGTTTTTTTTTTCAGATTTTATTTATTTCTTTGAGAGAGAGAAAGAGAGAATGCAAGAGAGAGCATGAGCAGTGAAGTAGGGGCAGAGGCAGGCAGAGGGATAGGGAGAGCTCAGCTGGGAACCTGTCTCCGGGCTCTATTCCAGGACTCCGGGATCATGACTTGAGCCGAAGTCAAACGCTTAGCTGACTGAGCCACCCAAGTGCCCTAATTTTCTATTTTCTAATTTATAGCCATAAATGTTCTGCAAACTGAAAGAATGTGCGCCAAGCAAGTACTAAAAGTCACAGTTGGCATTCATTAAAATATCAGTTAGAAGTTTTCCAAGGTAGTGATACACTGACAAAATAACATGAGATAACCAAAGAGATACAGTTTATACATTATTTATAATGTCATATATTCAGCCTCGTAAACAGGTATCATTTAGTGACTTATGTCAATTCCAAGGTAGCACAATTATGTTTTTCTTGGAATTTGTGGGAATTGAAATAACATTTTTTTTCATTTCCCTACAATAGAGCGCTACTGCTCCACCTTCCAGAAGCCCAGAGGTGTCATCATCTCCCCGCCCAGCTGTGGCAAGCAGCCCTCCAGACCTGGGACGATTTGTCAACTAAGTTGCCGCCAAGGATTCATCTTATCGGGCGTCAGAGAAGAAGTGAGATGTACCACCTCTGGAAAGTGGAGTGCCAAAGTTCAGACGGCTGTTTGTAAAGGTAGGTCCCCTACATCGGTCAGCTTGAACACAAAATTCCTATATTATGACATGTTGGGACAGTGTGGGGCAGTCTCTCTTTGCAGCTTTTGCTGCAAATCCATAATAAAGTGGTAGGCATTGTTCTTATATACTTAGGGTTTCTGTGTCAAGATGATGGATTTACAAAATCCAACTATAAAATGCCAGGCAATAACAGAAGAAAGAGAATATAAGGATAATGTTAAAGCTGGAAATCAGGTAAGGTTTCAATAAGGAGATAAAAATGTCTGAGGAATTTCTGGTCCATATAAAGCCCATGTTGCTGAATCAATTTAAAAAGAAGCAAGTTATCAGCACCTTGATTTGTGTTTTTTAGGAGGTTGGGAGGTGCAGAGGGAGAGAGACATAGAGAATCCCAAGCAGGCTTTATGCTCAGCGTAGAGCCTGACGCAAGGCTCGATCCCACAACCCTAATGTCATGACCCAAGCTGAAACCAAGAGTTGAACACTTAACCAGCTGAGCCCCCCAGGTGCCCAAATAAGCAAGTTATCAGCCCTTTGAAACCAGTGTCCCATGACTTTCATAGGAGGACATTGCCATCTTACAACCAGAACAGACTGCTATGAAAAAGGGGGTATTGAGAATAAGAAATTGTTCTTAGAAGTAAAAACATCATAACTATCTCTAGGAGAAGGATAAAGTAGAACAGAAGTTGTTGAAAATGGTATTAGTGATTTGAAGAACCAAATTGAGAGTTCCCTAAGATTGGAGAAATTATTATATTATTATATATAATACAATATATTATATTATTATATATATTATATTAAAGTATTTTATTATTATTATAGGAAAAGCCCCAGTGTCCATTTAATAAAGAGTTCCAGAAGGAGAGGGGGAGGTAGATGGAGAAGAATTTTCTTACCGGTCGAAGGAAGCTTCTCTGAGCCAAACTTGAAATGTGAGATCACTCAGAGCCCCTGACTATTAGACAGGCATATTTTCACTACTGGCAAAATTTCTGAGGTTCAGAGTTTAACAAGGAAATCTTAAATAAGTTTCCAGAGAGAGAAGAGAAATCGCACAAAAGAAACAAGAACCGGACCTAGATTATACTTTACTTCTCATTTACAACTATAAATGCCTGAAGAAAATACAGCAATGTCCAAAGAATACAGAGAGGAAATAGAAACTTTAAATTCCAACTCCAAGTTCAGCTATTATTCAAGTGTGAATGAAAAATCAACTACTTTTTTAGATTTTCAGAGTCAGTATGCAAATGCATATTTGTAGGGAAAAAATGTCCGAGTATCAACCCCTCTACGAAAGAGAAAATATAAATTGTATAAAGTTTTCAAGAAACAAGAAGGTATAATTATCAACTCTGATATATTCAGTTGCAAGTTATAGAAGACCTAATTTAACATAAGTTAAAAGAAGGCAACTCTTATATTATAAATTAAGAACTTAGCTCTAGGGGCCCCTGGGTGGCTCAATGGTTGAGCATCTGCCTTTGGCTCAGGTCGTGATCCCAGGGTCCTGGGATCGAGTCCTGCATTGGGCTCCCTGCAGGGAGCCTGCTTCTCCCTCTGCCTATGTCTCTGCCTCTCTGTGTCTCTCATGAATAAATAAATAAAATCTTAAAAAAAAAAAGAATTTAGCTCTACAGTGACTGATGTGCATACCTTTAAAGTTACCACCTCTAACTCAGTATCTGTATTGCAAAGTTCCACGCTGCAAAAAATATCATTGGCCTAAATGTGTTGTTTTGACAATGCATTTTAGCACTGCTAATTAATTCTACTCAACAGCCTTGTTTCCTCGTGTGGTTCCTTCCCACCACAGTCAACATTTGTTTTCTCTGTTTCTTTATTTCACTCAAAAATATTTACCAAGCTTCGGGTGTTTGCCAGGCACTATTTAACCCAATGGGACAAGAGATATCCTGGCCTTCAACAAATGTGAATTCTTGTTAGGGGGAGAAAATTCAATTTCAAAATGGCATGTTGAGTTTTATGGTCAGGAAGGATGGAGGGCTGTGAGAACCAGCCAAGGGAACACTTCCTGAGGTGCTTGTGTCTAAGCTGAGAAAGAACAAGGAGCTATTATTAAAGCTATTACCTTATTAAAAGTAAGGTTTATGCGAATATTTGCATTCTTTTCAAATAGATTCTAAATATGTGATACTGAAGATTTAATGATAACGCTAATGATAGTACTCCCTATATAAACTGTACTCATGCATATTAATACCTCATTGGATAGAAGAATGATCAGCCTTGCGTTCCCAAGCGGGAAGAGGGTCTTGACTCAGGCACACAAAAGACCATGGGCCAAGGCCCAGGTGCAAGAAAGACCATGGCATTTTCATGGGAACGTGAGTATCCAGCGTGGAGAATGACTTCCGGTAGTTAAGAGGTCAGCAGGTACCATTTCAGGAAAGGCCTCACAAGCCATGCTGCAAGGCAGTTGCATATTCCAAATGAATCTGGAGTTGGGATGTAAAAAACGAGTCACAGAGTATTCATATATTTTTACCTTTTTCTTAAATGACTTAGAATGACATTATCACTCTTCTCACTGATTTGTGCATTTTCTGCGTCAGATGTGGAGGCTCCTCAAATCAGCTGTCCTAAGGACATAGAGGCTAAGACTCAGGAACAGCAAGATTCTGCTAATATCACCTGGCAAATCCCAACAGCTAAAGACAACTCTGGGGAAAAGGTAAGGTTTATGCGAATATTTGTGTTCTTTTCAAATAGATCCTAAATATGTGTGATCCTGAAGATTTACTAATACACTAATGATAGTACTCCTATATAAACTGTACTCATGCATATTAATATCTCATTGGATAGAAGAATGATCAGCCTTGCGTTTTTGACTAGAAATCTCAGATAAAAAGCTCTGAAACGGAAACTTTTTATTGCATAGATTTGATGTATTATGTACCCACTAAGATAACGTGACTAAGAATTCTTTGCTCCTTACGAGGCAGGGATGATCTTTTAAGGAAAAAATGTGGAAACAATCTTAATTCCTGCTCATGAACATATCTTTTAACATATGAACCTCAAAGGATTGCATTTTGGCCAATGTGAAGGAGAGATCACTGTGTTTTGAATTCAGCTTTCTCTAACACAGTATTTTATTCAGAACACAGTATTTCAATATTATATGTGGCAGCTTAAGATAATTACCCATCAGATGTTAGAAAAGGAATTCATTTGGGATTTAACTCCACTTGAATCCACACCGTTAGTGTTCACCTACACGAAGATGCTTTTGTGGTATATTGTTTTCACAACTGCCTGTGAACATGTATAAATTGTGCCAGCTAGGATATATCAGGGTGGGGAGCCCCGGCGCACACACAAAAGCTGTTCTGATCATTCTGTTGAATATATATAGAATCAGGGTGACTTAAAAAAATTAACTGTGGTCACCGTGTAGTACATTACATTCCCATAATTGATTTCTTTTATGAATGAAAGTTTGTACCTTTTGACCTCCTTTACCCCATTTCATCCCTCCCCACTCCCGTCCCACCTCTGACAACCACCACCTGTTCTCTGAATCTAGGAGTTTGTTTTTTTGTTTCTTAGATTCCACATTAAGTAAGATCATATGTTATTTTTCTTTAGGTAACTAAAGACAAGGTAGCTTTTAGATCATTTTAAAAGCGCAAATATGACATTTAGGGCTAAATGTATGGTAGGTGGTATATATGTTGAATAATCAGTTTATCATGTGTGATTTCTACTTTCCAAAAAAAGGCTCATGAAAACATTCATTGTTGCTTCCTTTGTCATAATCATCAACAAGCACTGAGTACAGGGATGTATTTCAGGATCTAATGAGCATTCACACTAAATATAGCACCTGTACGTTGAAATATTTTTAAGAGTACAATTAAAAAAAACATGTGTATTTGACTACAAAAGTATTTTTAAATTTATATTTTAAAAAAATTCTAAAAGACAAAGAGCAAACTTGGGAAAAATTTTTCCAACTTGTTAGACGTTAGAGTATTTATTACCTACGCATTGTTATAAATGTTTTTCTATCATAATTTTCAAACAGACTAATAAGGCAAACATGTAATTCAAAAAGGAAAGAATATATCTATATCTTGTAAACATATGAGAATTTAATCTTAGTATAAGGCATGAAGAAATTGTTAATTAAAACAGTGACCTTGTGTCATATTTTTTAGTTACCAAAAAGTAATGGAATTTAATACAGGGCAGGGAACTTAGTGGGAAATTTAACACTGACACTTATCAAATATTACTCAGCCATTAGAAATGACAAATACCCACCACCTGCTTCAATGTGGATGGAACTGGAGGGTATTATGCTGAGCAAAATAAGTCAATCGGAGAAGGACAAACATTATATGGTCTCATTCATTTGGGGAATATAAATAATAGTGAAAGGGAATAGAAGGGAAGGGAGAAGAAATGGGTAGGAAATATCAGAAAGGGAGACAGAACATGAAGACTCCTAACTCTGGGAAACGAACTAGGGGTGGTAGAAAGGGAGGTGGGAGGGGGGTGGGGGTGAATGGGTGACGGGCACTGAAGGTGGCACTTGACGGGATGAGCATTGGGTGTTATTCTGTATGTTGGAAAATTGAACACCAATAAAAAATAAATTTATTATAAAAAAAATCAAATACTGACAAATAGGAATGCAAGTTGTTACCATGTTTTGGGGAAGAAATTTTGTATCATCAATAAAATGTTAATGACTTTGCGGTTAGTAACTCTGGCATAAAAATTTATTATAGAAACATAATAAAAATATTTTAGAATTACCTGTACAAAACTGTTTATCCCAGTACTGTTTACTATAGGAAAATCTGGGATCAATTTAAATGTCCTTTAACTGATTTTTTTTTTAATCAGCATATATTTATTCTATGGAAAACTATGGAGACATTTAAGTCTTCTTAAGTTCTAAAGACTATGTAATAGCTTAAAGAATGTTTTAAGACATTATGTTTAAAAAACAAGGGACAACATTTCATATGTATGCCTACTGTATAAACTATGTAAATCGACTAATAGTTTGGGAAGAAACACATCAAAAGGCTGTGCCTGATTTTTTTTTCTGTTTGCTATGAAACACTGTGCCATTTTTAATTTCACTTTTCCTGATGATATTTAAGTAAAAAAGAATGAATGTACTATTGCTATTAACTTTAACTTTCAAAATATCTATTTGTGCCTAAAAGGTATCAATCCATGTTCATCCAGCTTTCACCCCACCTTACCTTTTCCCGATTGGAGATGTTGCTATCACATATACAGCCATTGACCTATCCAACAACCAAGCCAGCTGCACTTTCCATGTCAAGGTTATTGGTAAGTCATAAAATTACTTGAGTAGGTTTGTGAAAATAATCCAGGACTCCAAGGGCTTTGCTACTCCTTAATCTTCAACACCTTCCTCCTGTTGATTGTTCCTGCTGGTCCTGAAGTCTGTTCCAGCCACTCCCTTTTTGAAACCTATATACTCTTTAAGTGTCACCATCTCTCTTTGATTTCTTCCAATAGGAGCCTTTTGAAGTTCCCAGGAGTTGCCATCTGTTTTGTCTCACAGGCCATTTATCTCAGTCACTCAAGCGTGTCTGGCTCTTGTTCCCTTCACTCACAGAAACTACTTTCAACAGGGTCGTAGTGGTCTCTAGAGTTACTCCTACTGCACACTTCTTAGTTCTTATTTTACATAATCTTTCCATAGTTTTTTTTTAATTTTCTAAAAGATTTTTCATTAATTCATTTGAAAGAGAGAGAGGAAACAAGCAGAGGGGAGGGGCGGGGGGGGGGGTAGACTCCCCACTGAGCAGGGAGCCTGATGCAGGAGCTCCATCCCAGGACTCGGGATCCTGACCTGAGCTGAAGGCAGACACTTAACTGATTGAGCCACCCAGGTGCCCCTAGATTTTACATTGTTAACCACATTCTCCTTATCTTGGTTCCTCAACACATTGTTCTCATTTCTCCTTGTTTATCTCTTTCCTACATGGCTTCTCTTCCTCAGATCATCTTGTGGATCATCCCCAGGGCTCCAGCCTAGTCCTCTTTCTCTTTCTTTCTATAATGTTCCTAGTGTTTTAGTTAACTGACAACTTTCAGATTTCTGTCTCAAGCTTAGATCTCTTTTCTGAAATTCAAACCAATATGTAGAACTGCCTACTGAGCTTTCCGTGGAGCTGTCTTACACTGGGAATAACCAAAGTATTACAATAACCCAATGATGTAAGATCATCCCTGTGTATTTCTCACTCACACCTTATCTATTTCTCAGCTCAGAAAATGGCACAGCCAACCACCTGTCCACCGTGCAAAAACCTGGAACTCATCCTTGACTCCTCTCCTTCCATCACTAGCATCCAATTAGTTATCCAGGTCTGCTGGTTTCATCTACTTATTGTCCCTGAAATCTGCCCCAGTCTCTTCATCCTTACAACCACTGCTGTACATCAGTCTTTTCAGGGGGAAGGGAGACCACTGATTTGCTGTTCTGTCTTCCAAGTTGTCTTCGTATGTTCAATCAATTCAGTAGATATTCAGCAAATACCAGATACCCACCACTAAGATATAATACATGGAGAAATAGGATATGTAGCAAGCAGTCTGTAGTGTGGTCAAGAGCACAGACTCTGAGCCCAATCTGAGTCCGCATCTAGCTCTACCCCTTAAAGGCAGTGTGACAAGTAGCCACCCTGTGCCTCAGATTCTTTATCCAAAAATAGAATTAATAAACATCTTACATCATTGGATTGTTGTGAGGGTTTTAGTTAGTTAAAATTCATGAACCACTTGAACTGGTGCCGGACGCACATTCAGCTCTATGTAAACATATTGACATTTTGCTACATTCATCTCATATTGTAATATGTCTGTTTAAAAATCCAACACATTAAATTCATTTTGTGTTAAGAATTTTACATAACTTCTCGAAGTAACTAATGTATATCAGACTGGCTCCTTACCCTAGAAATTACAGGTATTGGTAAAAGTAGGTAAAAAGAAATGCAAATAAAAAACCAGTCAAATTCCTTTCATAGTACTTGGGTTTTTTTCACTGCTTTTTCAGTATGTTTTAAACATGAACTTTGCCAGTCATATGGAAAATATGCTGGATTTGTTTCTTATGGTACTGTGATTTTAAACATGGAAGTGTGGTTCAAGCGTTTGCCAAGTTTTATTTTTTCACAATGAAGTGTCAACACAGTGAAATGTAAAATGTGTACTCAAGTGTCTAGCTAGACACTAGGTGAATTTTCAGCTTATGAAAGAGAGATGATATGAGAAAGAAGAGAAAGCGGGAGAAGGTGAGAGGGAGACAAGGAGAGAGGGAGGAGGGAAAGAGAGAGACAGAGAAAATATTCTAAAGCTACATTTTCTTATTTCCTCTGATGACAGGGTGTGGATGTCTTACTGATGATAAAGGGGAGGAAGCAGGAATGCTTTTGCTTAGCATTCCAGGGAATGCTGCCTCCCTTGCTTTGAAATAGGCTTTTTCCTCTCTCTCGGAGACAGTGCCTCTGCTAGTACCTCCCATTCTTTTGACAGTAATTGACTGAGTCTTGGTGCTCTCTTGTACATGCAGTTCAACTTTAAAATGTTTGTCTAATATCAGGTAAGTTTAGAAAATCTTGAAAACACCTTTTTGCAATTTCTTTTGGAAAAATAGTAAACCCTGCCAGATTGGTCAGTTTAACTATGAATTGACTTGATTTAGCATTCTTTAAGTACATAGACCTCCAATGAACATTTCTTAATTTTTTTCTTTATTCAACAACCTTTTTCTAAGCATGTGTTATGGACCTGGTGCTGTGCTCTGCCGTGGAAAGCTCACTGTGAGCAAGAGAGGCTTTGGCACTGGTTGACTGAGTTTATGGCCTAGGAAAGTAGTAAACCAAAGGCACTGCACTAACGAAATGACAAACATGAAGAAAAAAGACGTAGCATAAAAAACAGAAATTTATATATTCTCACAGATATAGCTCATTTAATTTCCAAGTATGTGTTTTCATGTTTCATGGTTAGAAATACCCTGGTCTTAATCCTTTGATTGCAATCTTCTAGCTTAATGACCTCAGATAAGCCCCTTAAATTTACATAGTCTGAGATTTGGTCATTTCACTCCTGCTTCTCTGGGAAGGTTCATTTCACTTTCTGGTTGATCAGTACAACTACTATGGGTAGGATGGCCATCACATCCAGAATTGCCTTTTTAAAATCTTTCATTTTAAAGATTTATTTATTTATATATTTTGGTAGAGAGAGAGAGTGCAATTGGGAGGGAGAGGGAGAATGTCAGGCAGACTCTGCACTGAACACGGAGACTGGCAGGGGCTCAATCTTACAACTCTGAGATCATGACCTGAGCCAAAACCAAGAGTCGGATGCTCAACCAACTAAGCCACTCGGGCACCCCCAGAATTGCCTTTTATAAAGCTGTGCTCAGGGTGATTTTAGGAATCTAGTATTTCTTCTTCAACAGGCAGAGAGCAACCTAATAAGAATCCGCTCTTTCTTTTGCCTTGAGACCAGGAATAAAACAGATCTCATTGTCCAAAAGGCTCCAGGGCCAGCCTAACAAGGTCAAGGTTTTCTGCTAGCACAAGCAGACTTCAGTTCTCTTGTGCACACCCCCTCGTTATTTTTGAGTATCAGTTGTGACTTCTTTCTCTGCTTTCTTGTTTTTCAGATGTAGAACCACCTAGCATAGACTGGTGCAGATCCCCACCTCCAATGCAGGTCTCAGAGAAGGAGCATTCTGCAACGTGGGATGAGCCTCAGTTCTCAGACAACTCAGGTGCGGACACAAGGATTTTATGGTCAGCATGGTTAACACTGAATTTTATTTCATTTTTAAATGCTTTTTAAAAAGATAAAAGAAATGAAAAGCAAATTACGTCTTATCTAAATGGAATGAATAGTCATATAAGGTAATATATGTTTTAATGCTAGGATAATTATATATAATTTAATATCATTAATCCTACCTACCTGTAGAGTTCCCTTCATTCAGTATCCAATGCACATTTATTAAACCTATACTAGTTGTCGTACTTGAAGATTTCTAATAAATTCATTGAGTCTCTAAGCTTACATTGTCCTGAAGGCATAAACTATTCATTTTATTAATATCATTAGTACAGTTCTATGTATTCATATATTCATTCCTTAAGCATGTGCCCCCCAAATTAGAAAAGTTCATAGGGAAGCAGAAAAAACATGAGTAGATACAGTTGAAGTTCATGTTAAAAGTCTCACTAAAACCCAGTAAGCAACAATAGGAAAATGTGAGTTAAATAAATTTCTTAATTAAATTTCCAATATTGGTGATTAGGGCAGAAGGGATAATTGGGTAATGGACATTAAGAAGGGCACTTGATGTAATGAACACTGGATATTATATGCAAGTGATAAATCACTGAATTCCAACTCTGAATCTAATAATATAGTATATGTTAACTAAATTGAGTTTTTAAAAAATTTTCCAATATTCCAATAGACTGGCCTATTCAAGGAAAATCATTTATTTAGCAAGAATGTCTTAATCTTTTTTTTTTGCCTTAATCTTTTTAAAAAATATTTTATTTATTTATTTATTTGAGAGAGAGAGAAAGACAGCACAAGTCGGGGTGGGGAGAGGCAGAGAGAGAAGGAGAAGCAGATTCCCCGCTGAGCAGGGAGCTCGATGGAGGGCTCTATCCCTACAGGATTGAGGACCCCGGGATCATGACCTAAACCAAAGGCAGACGCTTAACTGACAGCCATGTAGACACCTCAAGAATGCCTTAATCTAATGAGGTTTTTTAGTCTTTTTTTTTAAAGATTTTATTTATTCATGAGAGACACAGGGAGAGAGGCAGAGACACAGGCAGAGGGAGAAGCAGGCTCCCTGTGGGGAGCCTGATGCGGGACTCAATCTCAAGACCCCAGGATCATGACCTGAGCCGAAGGCAGACCCTCAACCACTGAGCCACCCAGGTGCCTCGAGGTTTTTGAGTCTTATACTTCTATTCTGTAGTATAAATATTACATCTTTTATTTTTATTTTTTTTTTTACTGGTGACCAAGTCAACACAAATGGAATGCCCAGCTGGTTTGTATAAATAGAAAATGAAAATTCAAATCAAACAAACTGGTAAAGTGACTGCAGACTAGTCACCCCAAAACTATGTCCCCTCTTTCCTTTCCAGGGACTGTGTTACTCATCACCAAGAGCCACTCACCAGGAGAACTTTTCCCTCATGGAGAGACTATAGTGCGATATACAGCCACTGACCCCTCGGGCAATAACAGGAGCTGTGACATCCACATTGTCATAAAAGGTATTTTCTTCATAAAGTTCCAGAAATCTAGTTGACATTTTTATATGTAATTTCTGTATTTTGTGAAAATAAATGGACTGTGTGCAATAGATTCATTAACTTTGAATACTGACAGATCTTATTTACATTTCCAGTTGTCATTGCTTCACTCTGTGATACATAGAACTATTTTCTTCAAGGGTAGTCTTTAACATTTCATTAACATCTTCACCAAAGGTACACAATGTTATTGTCATAATTCTCTCTTGAGTAACTGAGGTGACAGGTTCTGAAATTGTCCTTGCTACATAATGCTTCTAGTTTACACTCTTCTTACAGAAATGCCACAAGTAACAACCCCAAGTCAGAGATAAATGAGCATTTGTAAAATATGCACAGCCTCTGACTACACATTGGTACAGCTTTTCAGCTGCGCCCACCTAGGAGCAAAGAAGGATATGTTGTCATGTTCCCATACTAAGGATTTGTGATGGAAGTTTTTCCTGGAATACTGGTAGACAGGAGGAGTCCTCTTCAAAATTCAGCTTAGATTCATAGAATTTAATTAATATTGTTTATACCACCGTATGTAAATAGTACAATTTTTTTAATGCAGGTTCTCCCTGTGAAGTTCCATTTACACCTGTAAATGGGGATTTTATATGTACTCAAGATAGCGCCGGAGTTAACTGCACGTTAAGTTGCCTGGAGGGTTACGATTTCACAGAAGGGTCTACTGAGAAGTATTACTGTGCTTATGAAGATGGTATCTGGAACCCACCATATTCCACTGAATGGCCAGACTGTGCTAGTATGTTTTATTTCTTTCTGGGCTCCTTTCATATATATGAGTGTGTGTTTGGGTGAGTGTACGTTTCTGAGCATGTAAGAGGAAAATTGCCTTTTTATAGGAATTGGGTTTAATGAGTGAAAAATGATGCCATGAGAGGAATCTGGCTGGCTCAGTTAGGAGAGCACACAACACTTGAACTTTGGGTCATGAGTTTGAGGTCCACATTCGGCATAGAGCTTATTTAAAAAAAAATGGTGCCATGAATTTGAAATGTCTATGAGTAAGAGAAATGTTCAGCCTCTGATTTAAAATGTTAGCCCATCAAAGTCTGGTTATGGATTGGATTGCAACAGGACAAGATTCAGTTTAAGGCAAACCCATCTTGGTCCTCTCCTTGTTATTTACCAGAAATAGAGACTTGTCAGCATGTTCTTGATCTGTAAACTTGAACTTACAGTCTCATAGTCCACAAAAGAGCTATATTTAAAGTAAAATCCATAATATGTGATGGAATGAAAGATGAGTCACAATCTCTTTAAGTCTGATTTAGATTCAGAACTATTCTATAATCTTAAATATATGTATTTTTATAAAAATGGCCAATATCTTTGTCTAGTGTAAATAAATATTCTTTGGAATGAATCTTTGATTCAATACTGTAGATTGAGTTTAAATACCAACTTCTTGGAAAAAGTAAAGCCCAATTGAGCTATTTCCCCCCCCCCAAAATTTGGGAAGTAATTAAAAGTTCTACAGTATCACTCACCTTTATCACAGATTTAGACAGTAGGATTTTAATATTGATGCTCTTAGGGCTCATTGTCTCAGAATATTATGGGACATCTTGCTAAGTCTAACCATGCAAGCTTTTGATCCAAGGAGAAATTCTCTATGAAAATTACACTTTCAAGGACTATGATTGTATGTCATATTAAGAAATTTTTCAATGTATATTGGCTAAAAATATAATAGAAACATATATGATACAAATTTATGTAAACATAAAAGATATCTTTGATCCAGGCAGGACTTTTCAAAACTTTCCAGAAATATAATTTAAAAATTTTCAAGTCGCTTTTTCCCTTAAATGCTCATTTTCTTAATGTGATTGCAAGCTAAAGAATAATAAAGCAAACCTCATCGCTGGGTAACTGGGTACAATGCTGCTTGGCTCATGGTTTATTGTGATCAATTAATGCCTAGAAACTTTTTTCAACTGTCTCTTGTTTTTGAAGGAATCCCACAGATCATTTTAGAATCAAAGTACTAAGTTACAGTTACTCCAAAGACAATTAAATCTTTGTGTTGAAAAATCTTAACCAACTGAAGCTGTTTTCTCTAACATTTTCCAGTTAAACGTTTTGCAAACCATGGGTTCAAATCCTTTGAGATGCTGTACAAAGCAACTCGTTGTGATGATACAGATCTGTTGAAGAAGTTTTCCGAAGCATTTGAGACTACCCTGGGGAAAATGGTATGTCAGGAGTATTGTTTGTCGTATTTTAACAATACTGAGCTTTTCATAGCCTCTCATAGTTACCTATAACTGGAATTCTGTGTCCTGATGATTTCCTGCCCCTCTGTAATCCAAACTTGCTCCTAATATTTAGAATTACCCATAGGTTTTGGACTTCTGGAATGAATTATAAGTGAATCTTTATTAAAACATTTTGAATTTTTTATAACATTCTGAGTCAGAAAGCTAGAGAAGCGTGGGGTCCATGTGGTTTGAAAATATCTGCTTTGTTATTTAAAGTATGACAAAAATTCCATTGTAGACTGTATTTGTTTTATGATGAGATAATTGAACATTGTGAGGATTTTCTCTTTCATGCGTTTTTGTTTAGGATTCTTTTACTGTTTACAGGAAAGCAAAATGATGTATTTAACTGTGTTGAGCATCTCGAAGGAAATGTGTTATATACATATTTGTATCCCTAACAGAGTAGGCAGCTTAGATTTTTGGATAGGTTCTAAGAGTAGATTTAGTGGTAGTAGATTTGATGTACAGTATGAGAGAAAGAGGGGAGTCAAGGAGGCAGTGTACACAGAGACACAGATGCTGGAGTGGGTATACACGGTGGTGGAAGTGTGTTAGAGGATTTTTCCTGACTTCTATTTGCTCAGTGGAAAAAGATGCAGAGTGATCAGCAGGAAGAGTAAGGATGGGGAGGAGTTGTTGAGGTTTAGAAGAGAGTTGATGGTATAAAATAATTTTCTAGGACAGCACAGATAAATGTGCTAAAGAAAGGTGGTAGGATTGGCAGGAAGCAGGATTGTGGAGAAAACAAAGCACTTAGTTTAACTAGGGTTATGCGTTCTGCAGACAATCATCAGAGGATGGGGCCCATCAGGGAGTGATTTCTGGTGATTAGCCATAGAATCTAAGATAGATAAATAAGAAGGTGAAGACATCAGGCTGAGAGACAGTGAAGAGATGATAGGGTCAATGGATTATAAATCAGATGAAGTCAAGGACTTCCAAGAGTACAAGAGGATGCCGTTACTGGTAATGAGGAGGTCTGAGGGTATGACCATGAGAGCAAGGGACAAAGTAAGGCTGAAACACTAGAGGAGAAGGGGAAAAGGAAATGAGAAGCCATGGTGATGGAAGGATTAGCTGGATCTTGGATATAGAAATCACCAATTATAACAGCAACAGTTACTGGATGTTCTTGGAATGAGGGGGTGATGCAGAATGGAGAAAGGCTGTAGGTAGCTGCCACATGGAGAGGCTGTCTACTATACCACGAGTTTAAGGATTGTGAGGCTCTAAGGAGGGGCAAGGGAGTGTAATCTGGAAACAGCAGGGAAGAGTGAGGAAGACACTTCTTCTGCCTCCATGCCCATGTTTGAGAAAACTGAAAAGTGAGGTGTCATTGAGAACTAAGGTGAAGGGACCATAAATAGAGGTGAAAAAAATAACGGGGGATTCACTGATGACTGTTGAGTTTCAGAGGGCAGAGGAAGATTCTAAGGACTTAGAGATGAGTGGAAGATAGAGCCAGATAAAGGGACCTAAGGACCCATATGGGGTGAAAATTCAGAGATAAGAGATATGCCAGGAGTCCTGGGCTTCTGGTGACGTGTGACCTACACAGAGAAAAGCCATGAAACTAATCCTGATGGTCCATGAGCACCAGAGCCTCTAGGGGAGGACATGGAGAAAGGGCGAGAGTCTGTCCAGGAGCAAGCATACCTGTGGTTCTCTCCTCCCTCCTGTGGAGAGAAATGTGAGTCTAGCTGAACAAAGGGCTTATCCAGACCACACAGATATGTGATTGACATTTCACGCTCTTCATTTTTCATTTGCAGGTCCCATCATTTTGTAGTGATGCTGATGACATTGACTGCAGATTGGAGGACCTGACCAAAAAATATTGCCTCGAATACAATTATGACTATGAAAACGGCTTTGCAATTGGTAATTAAGTTATACAGTGTCAGTAGTTTGCAAGAGTGATCCACAGTATAACATAATTTCAGAAGAGTGGGGCAAACTAGACAAATTAACTTTTTTTAAACCAAAACTCTTGAGATGATAAAAACTAAGAAAAATAAGTCACATTATGATGGTGAAATTTCAATATGTATATATCTTAGACTAGTACTAAAGCAATTTTTATATGGCATTCAATTTAAATTGCAACTAAGTCATTGATTTAAAATAGTTACACATGTAAAATATTCAGATTTCTTACCCAGAATGTGTTAAGACTCAACCTATTCAAGTCTGATATACCTTCTAAATCTATTTTCATGTTTTCTCCATATTATCTTTGAGCATTATTATTCAAGTTACTCCTAAGTATGACATGTGATTTGTATGCTGGTGTAGCTGGCCATTTAGCTAATTGCCTTAATATTTCTGGAAGATTTCAGTAGTCACTCTTGGGTCTTTCATTAGTAAAATCATCAAACTTTCCAGTAATTATATTTCTCATTTCTGTTGCTTTATTATAAAACTGTCCAACACTTCCAAAATAATGTTTTTAAAAATAATAATGATGGGGGTGCCTGGGTGGCTCAGTCACTTAAGCGTCCGACCCTTGATTTTAGTTTGGGTCATAATCTCACAGTTGTGAGATTGAGCCCTGTGTTGTGCTCTATGCTGAGTATGGAGCCTGCTTAAGATTCTCTCTCTTACCCTTTGTCCCTCCCCCTCTTCCCTTTCCTTCTCAAAAAAAAAAAAAAAGCGATAACAAAAAGTATCATGGTTTAACACATGGACTCTAAGACCAACTTTTTAGGTCCAAATTCTGGCTTTACCACCTATTAGCTGTGAGGTCTTTAGCAAGTTCATACTCTGTACCTCAGGTTCCTCACCTATAAAATGGATATTATATAAAAGTACTGTACTCATAGGGCCATTCTTAGGATTAAATGAATAAGTACAAGTACACATAAAGTCCTTGGAAGGCTACCTGAGACAATATTAATCGACGTTACGGCAGACATCCTTTTTTGTTTCTGACACTAATCATATGTGTAATATTTTTAGTGACTTAACATTTAGATTGATGTTGACATTTTCTTTACACTTTTTGAATTTTAAAAATATCATTTTTGAGTATATATATTTATTGCAGAAATTTGAAAAAATGCTAAAACCTAAAGAATGAAATCAAGATAATCCACAGTTCCATAAAAAATTTGGTTAATATACTAGTTAGTATATGTATTACTATATGTACATTAACATACATACATATAACTATACACACATATGTATATATGGCCATACTATTTTCTAAACTTGAATTTTTACCTAATATTATATTGAGGACATTTTTCTGTCACTAAATATTATGCTTCAGTTTTAATGGCCACATATTTAATCGGTTTTATGTAAACAATTTCCTACTGGTAAGCTTTGCTATTTTTCCCATTTTTAACTATTATGTAAAACTTCTCAGTGAAGATTTTGGACATTAAAGTTTTAGAAGAACATGAAGTGGCATTGGCAATAGAGTTGGCAGTGGCATGACTCTTCTGTCACACATGACACAGGTTTCACCTCCCAGATTATTGAGGTAGATTGTTGAGGGTATAAGGATACACCTAGAGGGAGCCAGGTGTCATCATATGGCTTTGAAATGAGTGATATTTGTCATCTAATAAGGATAAAGTGGCAGTTTCCTAGAATCATATGTGGACAATATGGTACAATTGATCCTAAGAGATAAGCCTTTCTCCTTGAATGTCTTTACAGTAGGAAGTCACAAGATTAGCATAATATTTCTAAAAACACCTTGGCAAGTCATAATGTATAAAAACCAAAGGGCCAATAAATATATTAAAATGGTTTGACATCATAATAGTCATGCAATTCAAATTTAAACTAAAATGAGGGCAGCTCAGGTGGCTCAGTGGTTTAGCGCTTGCCTTCAGCCCAGGGTATGATCCTGGAGACCCAGGATCGAGTCCCACATCAGGCTTCCTGCATGGAGCCTACTTCTCCCTCTGCCTGTGTCTCTGCCTCTCTCTCTCTCTCTCTCTCTCACGAATAAATAAATAAAATCTTTAAAAAAAACTAAAACAAGATGCCGTTTTTGATCTGTCAGATTAACAAATTCAAGTAAGAATCATAAAACCCAAAACTGGTAAGGATATAAGGGAAAATAAATCATATTCATATATTGTATATAGGGGAGAAACTGGAGGGCAATTGACAATATATATCAAAAAGATTAAAAATACTCAAACCCAGAAATCTACTTCTAAGAATATTTCTCAGTATAAAAATCATGCCAGTGTGCAAATAGGTACTACATTTCATAAATTCTAAGGTGTACATTTTTCATTTGGACATCTCTGAGATTGGAATGTATCTTCTCATTGATGGCCCCTTATATTTTATGAAATCCTCTATGCACAAGGATGCTCTAGATTTTTGAAATAACCTAAAAGTCTGAAAATAGGAACCTTGTTAGTTTGTGGTATAGCCATAAAAGAGAATATTATGAAGCCATTTGATACAGAAATGCCATAATATATCATTGAGAAAATTAGAAAATTTTTACTAAATAAAATACACATAGTGTAATCATTTTTTGAAGATATGGTATGTTTATTTCTACTCTAGTGATTCATGCATCTATGTATGCATAAGCATATGTGTGTGTTTATATATTCATAAAAGAAAGTCTTGCCTAATATGTTCTAGTCATTATTTCTATATGGTGGAATTATAGGTAATCAAAACAAATTTTTGACTTTGCTCATCCATTTTTCTATAATGGCTACATAATACTTGTAGAAAAGATGTTTAAATTAAAATCAAAAATATTTATCCTAGGTAATTTTATCCTAGGCCAAAGACATAAATTAGACACACAAAAAAAAATTTTAAACAGCTATTTTATTTAAAACTCTATTTTAAATTTTATTTAAAAATTTTTAAACAGTTTATTTAGGTGGACAGGCCTGTATAAATATAATTTGATATTTAAAGCATATAACCAAGCAACAACAATATACCCAGACCAATATTAGTATCACTTACTGAGGTTTTAGAAGGAGTCAAATACTGAATTAGATGGTTAGTGTACATTGTCTCAGTTATGCCCCAAACCTGTGAAGTAAGAATAATGATCTCAATTTATAAATGAAGAAACTGAAGTTCAGAGAGGTGAAAGTAACTATACTAGCATTGTACACCCTTATCTCCTACATCCAGAAGCCACAATCTGAATCTATGCAGGTGGTGACCACGATGGCACTTGGGGCGTCTGAGGAATCTCACATATCTGTGTGATATAGTCCACTGTGGCTACATACACACTTAACTTACATGTTACCTTTAGAAACTGCCTCCACCTTTAAAGATTTATTTATTTGTTGAGAGAGAGCATGAACAGGAGGGGCAGAGGGAGAAGGAGAGAGAATCTCAAGCAGACTCCACGACCAAGTGGGGCTTGATCTTATGACCCTGAGATCACAACTCTGAGATCAAGACCTGAGCCAAACCAAGAGTCTGTTGCTTAACTGAATGCACCACCATTGCTTAACTGAATGTCCCCACCGTTAAAAAATGATGCAGTATCTTGAATAATCTTCACAAAAGGAAACCTGTTCATTTGCATTAAGTTTATAAATCTGATACTGTAAATTTTTAGAAAAGAATGGAGCCAACCCTGAAGGGAAATAGAGATTGGTTAAAATTCTGCACCCACATCCTATTTACCTCTAAAGCTAAGGTAATTTTAACTATTAACTCAAAGATAAGAATGGCTTAAATGCCTAGGTGGCTCCATAGGAACTTTTCTTTCTTCTTCTTGTGCAATTCATTGGTAATCTAAATCTAAAATGAAGTGCCTAAAAATTACAATATAAGATTATAGGTGAAAAATGAGATTCTAGATGAATCCCTGTATGCAGCACATTATGGACGATTTAAGAAATACGAACAATTTGACTTGTGGCTTACCATTAGAACCTAAGTGCTGATAAAGAGGCAACTGTAGAATCTTGTTTTTCTGCCCCAACTGTCCAGGACCTGGTGGTTGGGGCGCAGCTAATAGGCTGGATTACTCTTATGATGATTTCTTGGACTCCGTGCAAGAAACACCCACAGGTGCCGGCAAAGCCAGATCTTCACGAATTAAAAGAAATGCCCCATTATCTGACCACAAAATTAAGTTAATTTTTAACATCACAGGTAAGGAGAGACTGTTTGAAAAAACAATATTATGTGACATTCTTGGTGGGAAACCTATTTTGCAAAGTTTCCATTTGTTATCATCCTTAGGAAATAATCCTGGAACTGAAAATTAGGGAGAGCCCAATCACCTAAGTTTCGTCATTTTTTTGCAATTTAATATCACAGATGTATTTTATGATTCTCGCAGCAACAAGCATCCTGCTTTGTACTCCTCTTGGCATGACGAACTAAGGCATGTTTTTAAAAAGCAAGAATTTACAGAAATTTAACATGCTGTAAGGAAGAACTTCACAAAAAAGGTGATGTAGATCCAGCATATGAGGGAAGGATTAAAACAAATTGCATTGTTCTTAAGATTATCCATATACTAGTTGCTCAGTAAGTAGTGGTTGAGTTTGAGTTTGTTTTGCCCAGAAGATTTTTAATATGCCATCTTTCTTTGGTTAAAAAAAAACAAAAAACAAAAAACAAAAAAACTGCAGATGGTTTCCTGAAACACCACCTGTGTGTGTTATGTTTTATTTCGTCTTGTTTTTATCTCAGCTAGTGTGCCATTACCCGATGAAAGGAATGATACCCTTGAGCTGGAAAATCAACAGCGACTCATTAAGACTTTGGAAACCATTACAAATCAACTGAAAAGGACCCTCAGTCAGGAGCCCATGTATTCCTTTCAGCTTGCATCTGAGATGCTTGTAGCCGACAGCAATTCGTTAGAGACAGAAAAGGCTTTCCTTTTCTGCAGACCAGGCTCGGTGCTGAGAGGGCGTATGTGTGGTAAGACTTTTCCCTGCAATAAAAAATATCTGGCTCATAGTGGGTCAAGTGAGATGAGTAGAGCCTCTTTGCAACTATCCAGGGGTATTGAAATGAAACATTTCGCAATTGTTGTGTGGTTTTTGTTCTTATTATTTTGTCTCAGGCCTCTAAGTAACCACCAATTATTCAGGACAAGAAAACTATCTCAGGTAAGGGACTCAGATCTTAGTTTTCCTTATAGATCTCTAGAGCTCCCAACTTTTAGCAGCATCTCCAATAAAAATAACGACTATGTTTTGACCACTTCCATAGGCTGGCTGAGCATCTCTCGTGTTTAATTGTTTTAGCAACTCCATGAAGTGCTATTACAATTAAGCCCATTTTACAGATGGCAGAACTGAAGTCAGAGAGGCTAGGAAGTTACCCATTAAGACAGTAAGTGGTATAGCTAAGGTTTCCACCTGAGCAGCCACTGCCAAATTCACCAGCATAAAATCAACCCTTTTAAAGTGTACCGATCAGTGGTATCTAGCACATTCATGATACAGTGTTGTTCAGCCATCACCGCTCCCAAGACATTTTCATCACCTCCAAAGGAGCCCCACCCCAATAACCATTAAGCAGCCACTCCTTATCCTCCTTACACACAGCCCCTTACCTTTTAACCCAGACTACCACAATCTGGATCACTTCCAGCCTGTTTCCTAAATATGTCATTGCTTATAGATAGGGAAGATTCCTCTCCCCAAACTCTGAACACTCAGCTGAACCAGATGACATGAGCCTGGCATTAACCTCTCTGTAGGCGTGGGATCTTGCCTCCTGTTCAGGAAATCCTTCCTCAACAGTTCTTACTGTTTTTCCCAGAGCTCAGTTGGGTTATAGATTCAGCCCAATGAAAGCACATTGAAATGGTCGTTCTGAACCAGTTCGTGTTTACTCCCTACCTTGTGAGTAAAAATTAGAAATCACCTTGGTCAGTGTTCTGCATTTCTCGGTATGGCCTTCAAACCACCTGTGTCAGCATCACCGGAAGTGCTTATCAAAATGCATCTTGACTCAGGCCCCATCTCAGAACTAATATATGTGGCACTTTGGGAACAGAGCCTTGGAATCTGAATTTTTAGTAAGTTCCCAGGTAATTCTTATACACATTATCATCAGAATCATCTGGGTGCTAATTTCAAGTGTCCTCTCTTTACAAATACTAACTTTGCTAGCAGCCTTTTCGTGGGGTTAGCATTCCACTCTGGTCTCAGAAATCCTGAGTCACTTCGAGCCTGCCAAGTAGTAGACCAAAACCTCCAAGGAAGGGAGGTCCTAAAATTGGCCTGTTTCCTCGGGATCCTGGAGTCTGAGGATGTCTCAGACTTGCCTTCACTGGACAGGAATTCCTATAAACAGAGACGAGAGTCTACTTAATTCACCCGGCTTAGTCCCACAACCTTTGCCTGGTTTTGTTTCTAGAAATGATGCCATAATAGACGAGCTGTCATTTTCATAAGGGGAACCATTCAGAGGAACAGCTAAGAAAGTGTTTTTCATATCTTGAAGCTTCAAATTAACCTAAATGTTCACTGTTTTATTCTTTCCTTACAGCAGCCTTTCCTTTGTTAGCTGTGTGTTTTCCAGGATGATCTGGTTTAACCCACACTTTAAAGCTCCTATCACACAAGCCCTAAGCTTGGTCGATAAGAATTTGCATTTTCTTAAAAAAAAATCTACTGTTGGTTTTCTAGGAATACATTTCTGGAAGGTTTATCTTGTGAGTAAACCCCTGACAGTAAGATTTAATGCATAAACAATAGTACTTGGAAGCAAGCTTTATTATTTTCATGCCTTAGGATAAAGGAACCCAAATGTGTTCCAGTTCTACAGCTTACTATGTCTCTTGTTTGTTTTCTTTTCAGTCAATTGCCCTTTGGGAACCTATTATTCTCTGGAGCATTCTGCCTGTGAAAGCTGCTTGATCGGATACTATCAAGATGAAGAAGGACAACTCGAGTGCAAACTCTGTCCAGCTGGGACTTACACCGAGTATCTTCATTCAAGAAGCAGCTCAGAATGCAAAGGTAATGGCTCAATGCACAGGTTGACCAGAAGCCTGAATTTTATCTTCAGTTTCGAAGTCTAAATGGCAAAGAGGATGAAATGAGAGCATTACTGCAAGCAATTTCGTTCACTTATTATTTTTTTCTTTTAACTTTAAATTAGTATCTTAATGTTTCTCTCACTTTAAAGAAGTCTGTTTTTTTCCCTTTGGAATATTCTGCTCTAAGTGAGACTCCACTGTCCATAATTCTAATCCACATTTAAAAAAAAGATTTATGTATTTATTTTAGAGAGGGAGAGAGAGAGAGAGCACGCATAAGCAGGAGGGGCAGAGGGAGAGAGAGAATCTCAAGCAGACTCCATGCTGAGCACAGAGCCTGATGCAGGGCTCGATCCCATGACCCAGAGATCACGTCCTGAGCAGAAATCACGAGTCAGACGCTTAACTCACAGTGCCATCCGTGTGCCTTAGTTCTAATCCACATTTATCAGTTACCTCAGATTTTTTTTTTTTTACTGGATTTCAAATTAATTGGTGGAAAGGACTTTCATAACACTTAGCAATTAGAAACTTGCTTTTTCTTAGAATAATATTTGATACAATGAGATCAACTCTCCATTTACTTGGAAATTAATAACCATAGGTACATATGCATGTATTCTTGCTACTAAAATACTCAATGTTTTCAAAAATATTTTATTGTCATTTTATTTTTTTATTTTTATTTTGTCTTATTTTTTATTTTTATTTTTTCTTATTTTTTAATTGAAATTAGATTTGCCAACATATAACACCCAGTGCTCATCCCATCAAGTGCCCTCCTCAGTGCCTGTCACCCAACTACCCCATCTCCCCGCCTGCCTCCCCTTCCACTACTCCTTGTTCATTTCCCAGAGTTAGGAGTCTCTCATGTTTTCTCTCCATCTCTGATTTTTCCCACTCAGTTCCCTTCCTTTCCTTTATAATTCTTTTCACTATTTCTTATATTCCCTATCTGAGTGAAACCATATGATGATTGTCCTTCTCCGAATAAACATTTCTGATGGAAACATTTTCTTTCGTGATTAAGGTCACAATAAGATGCACCTGAGGGGTGCCTGGCTGGCTCAGTCAGTAGAGCATGTGACTCTTCATCTCGGCGTCATGAGTTCAAACCCCAAAAAGGGTGTAGAGATGACTTTAATAAACAAACAAAAAACAAACAAACTTAAAAAAAAAAAGAGAGATGCACCTAAAAGAAGGAATTTCAGAACTGTGCCCCTTGCTGTTGTTACAAATGCAGGTATGACTGCTTAATGACAAATATAAACTTGGGAACTGTGCTAAGTGATTAAAAGTGCACTGAAATGTTAGCAATGCTGCAAATGAGAATCATTTGCAGGGGAGAACAGGGGTGGAAGGAAAGGGTAGTGTACTGGGGATTGAGGATTCTGGCCCTAGTCCTGCTCTCCCACAAAACCACCACTATGAATCCTAGAAAGTTGCTTAAAATCCCTGGGCCTCATACTAAGACTACTTTTACTTTCTACTCCACCAGCCCTCAGATGGAGTCTGCTGGTAGAAGGAGGACAGGAGAGGGCCAATTGTTAGAGCAACAAAACTTATGAGGCTCTAGCCCAGTTTGAGGTTTGGTTTCCCTCTCCCCTTACCCCTGCTCATGCTCCCTCTTGCTATCTCTCTCTCTCAAATAAAATCTTAAAAAAAAAAATCCCCATTTATTAGCATTTTCTGTGTGATAATGAAAGTAACTGGAGTAAAGAAAGCAACTGGTAATAAAGAAAGTAAATGGAAATCAGCCTAAATGTTATTAGTACAGGAAAGCATAGGGCAATCTAAAATACAATCTATATACTTGGAATTCTTTGTGTCGCTCATTGTGTCCTGAATAATTGAATTACAGAAAACCCTATCTTATCCAGTGCGAGTTTTGTATAGCTTAATGGCATCATTCTTAACCATATTACATTTTTCTTTTCAGCTAAGTGCAAACCAGGCACCTACTCATCAAATGGGCTTGAAACGTGTGAATCGTGTCCTCTGGGCAGTTATCAGCCAGCATTTGGTTCCCAGAGCTGCCTCTCGTGTCCAGAAAACACTTCATCTGTGAAAAGAGGAGCTGTGAACATTTCTGCTTGTGGAGGTTATCAAAGCCTTAGACACTGATACTTCTTCAAACCTAATAGGTTCTATGCATGGCGGAGTGGAATATTTTCAGCAAAACCATATGTCTACTCTATGCAAAGAATGTAAATAACTGTCTCTTCATGGAAAGTTTCCATGTATTCAGCCAGTAAATACTTAAGTATAAACACCCTCAATATAAACACTATGCTAGTGCCTTTAGGAACACACAAAAAGTACAAGACTTGGTCCTAGTATTCAACATTAATAAACATGTGGCTTCATTATATGCTAGGAATACTTCTCATCTAGGAACTGAGTCTCCTCCTTTCTAAAGTGAGGTCCTGTCTCATGTCCCTTGAAACTCTAAAAAGACACTTTATGAATTACGATATTTCATTTCCTACAGTTTGGAGGTTTTTGTGAGTGATTATCCACTCTGGCTGTACTTTGGGATCATCTGCACATTGACATCAGCATTTTTAAAATACTGAAGGCCGATATCCACTCCCAGATATTCTGACTTAACTGGTCTGGTTTTCCTTTTAAGGTTCCCCACCCAGTGATTCTAAAGTAACAGGAAAAGTTGAGTATGACTAGTTTTGGATCTCAAAGGTCAGCATGAAGGGCTTAAAAACACAGATTGCCAGGCCCCACCCCCTAGAATTTCTAAGTCAGCAGTTCTGATGTGGGGCCTGAGAATTTGTATTTCTAAGTAGTTCAGAAGAGATGCTGCTCCTACTTGGTCCAGGGACCATTTGGTACAAATCACAATGGAAATGGAAAGATTAGAGTTCCAATTTTCAAATATTTCTAACATCCCTACCAAGTACAGTTTTCCAGCATGGTAAAGGTGGTAGAAGGTGTCAACAAAACAAAAAGATGAAAACTTAAAATGGCCATGAAACTGGGACTAAGAGTCAAGGTCATTCTGCTGCCAGGAACTCCAAATTCCATGTACTCTGCAAAGCCAATGGAACTTGACTAAAAATAAAAAGTTGTTGGCCTACCTCTGCTACATCACTGAGAAGAGAACAAACATGCTGGCTGAAACATGACTTTTTTAAAAATTATGTATCTTCCTCTTTCACTACACCCTTATTAAAAAATCTAAGGTCTACCTATGGCCATCTGAAAACTTAAAAACTGTTCCCCTATTGAATAGTGATGTTTTTAAGAACCAATCTGTTAGCTCTCCATTTCTCCTAAGACACACACACACACACACACACACGCACACATACACATACACAGCCTCACTGTACCCCAGGCATATATACCTCTGCATATAGTTAGAAACAAATTCCCAGAAAACAACTGTATAGGACATTTTTGTTGTGGGGAGAGGGGAATACATTGCATTTTGGGAGATGTAGTCCTCAAAGTTAGTGTAGCAGAGAGAAAACGAGGAAGCATATTATGCTTACAGATTTTTACATACTCCACCTGTTTAAATTATCTCAACATATTAGGATCACAGTAGATAAAGTCTCTTAGACCTGAGGAGTCGAACAAGCAGTAGTCATCAACCTGATGTTTCACTAAAGAGAAAAGAATTTAACCAGGACCTGGTTGCAACTCATAAACCATGTCTGTTGTGTAATACCAGCTTTGAGGTTTTTTTTTAAATTATTATTAAAAGGCAAATAAGGCCCCACATTATGGTTGAAATAGATCTACTAGAGACTCTTTTATTTTGTCAATATACAAATGAATTTTGGAAGAAAGTCTGCAGTGAAAAATTCTTTCTTTCTCTTTCTCTCCCTCCAACCACAAAAGTAACTAGGATTTTTACAGTAAAACCAATTCATATTTGATGTTTTTTCCCTTTAGCTTTCCAGTGAAGCCTTGAGGTTTGTTTAATACCAATTATTCCAATTAAGTAATTATAATTCCCAGAAAGTCTCTAGATTTCTGGTAACTGCTGTATTTCTCCTAATATATTCCCAGCACAAGTTTAACCACATTTGCTTGTCATGAGTGAGTTGGGAACAGCAGCACTCAGCACTCTGTCCTGTGGTGTTAAATAAATACCATTTTACTTTAAACTTACACGTGTATTTCTAAAACAGTCCCCCATATATATTTTTCTTAGTTTTAAACTTCTTCCTTCCTTCCTTCTTTATTTTTTTCTTTTTGTAGTGATTTATTTTTATATGTATGTTTACGGTTTATTTCACTTTTTACTAAAGTATCACTTTTTGCATTCTTTAGCATGTTGAACTTAAAATATAATCAACACAGCTATTATATTTAAGCATATTCCTATATTAAATTAATATATTTTCCATGTATTTCATTTTTATCACTACTTAGGATATTAAGTATCCATAGGTTCATGGTTACAAACTCAAGAGTCTGAAATTTTTCTTTTTTTTAAATTTAATTGATTTATTTTTTTAGAGAGAGATGGGGGAAGGGGAGAGGGAGAGAGAGAATCCCTAAGCAGACTCCCTGCTGAGCATGGAGACTGATGTGGGTCTTGATCCCACAACCCTGAGATCATGACCCTGAGACCATAACCTGAGCCAAAATCAAGAGTCAGACGCTTAATCGACTATGCCACCCAGAGACTCTTGAAATCTTTCATTTTTAAAAAATGACTTTTATCTGAGGAATAAGTCTTGCAAATGATTTTTTTTTTTGTAATGGTGTTGTTTCCGTATGGTCCTATAGAAAAAGCAAGATTATTGCTGAGCCAGGATGATATTTCTCACCTTTACCCTATAGGACAAAGTTAAAGGGAGGGTTAGGATGAGAGTTTTTGACCTTTGAATTTGTCTTAGGAAACCCATTTAAAAGGCAAAATTCACTTGACTCCAGGGCTATATGTGTTACCCTTAATACCACCGGGGAGCAGACGTGTGAGATTACATTTTCCCAGTCATTTCAAGGCACTCTTTTTAATTCTATTTTAATATCACTTTTGGCATACTTAGATTTTCTCTTTCTCTCTCTCCGTCCAATATGAGAGGTCAAAAGGATTTTGTCCCATTTTTCTTGACTCAGAAACCACAGTTTGGCCAAGATTCAAAATGAAACTTTCTCCTCTCTCTTCTTAGGAAATTAGACCATCAGGAACTCCCTCTGTATATGTGCATGTGTGTGTACTTAATGCTGTATTATATACTACAGATAATGCCGTTATTATGCATATATTTACTATCTGTATACATAAATAATACATTAAGTACTGATTGCCCACCCCTAGAAAGTATATTTCTGATGACAACCATCTGCCTTTGACATGTAAGATAAACTAATTTTTACATGAAAATTTATATTTTCTATATCAAAAGACAAAATATAGACATCACAACAGTATGTTCTCTAATGAACTTTCTGATTTTTAATCAAGATTTTATTATTACATATTAGTATAATTTTTGACATTCTGTCAGTTTCTGGGGCATTGTCTTTTTCTTTTTGAAGATAAGGTTGTGCTGAAAAAAAGGTGCAAAATAGTTCAATTCATCATAGATCTTGGTTTCACTGACAGAATTTACATTTTTACCTTATCATACACACTCATAGATATTTTCTCAAACAGAAGTTTCATACCTTTGCCAGTAGAAGATCTGTGCTTCTAATTAACTCCTTTAATTAGCTACCTGGAGCTAATTACCTTTTCCAAATAGGTAATCATTTTTTTGAAACTTGAGATTCAGAAAACCCATTTTAAGCTCAGCAGCTTTGTAATATGTTTGTGCAAAGCCCTGTCTGGAACTCTGAGGTCTAGCAACAAAGAATAGATTAACTTATTCTTGGTGAAGCAATGATACTTATAGTTTACAGTTTTGGGGGTGTCTGAGTGGCTCCATCTGTTAAGTGTCTGCCTTCCGCTCAGGTCATGATCTCGGGGTCCTGGGATCAAGCCACAGGTTGTCGGGCTCCTTCCTCAGCAGGGAGTCTGCTTCCCCCTTTCCCTCTGCTTGTGCTCACTCTCTCTTTCAAATAAATAAAATATTTTTTTAAAAAAATGCTTAAAAAGTTTAATAAAACAAATATTTTTGTTATAACAAGTATCTTGTTTATCACAGGTATAACAAGTATCTTGTTTCACCAAGATACTTATAAAGTTTTAAGATAACAAATGCAGCTGGAAGAAATAAGTTTTTCTAAATAAGCATTAATATCTATTGATATCTTCAGCCATCTCTTGATTCGATTCCTGACTTTGTCAGTGGGTATGTAAAAGAGCAATTTTGCAAAAGATGTGGCTGGCTGTTTTTCTTAAAAACTTTGATCTAAACATCTTGAGATTACCACAAATGCTTTATTGTTTATTTAATGTTTATTGTCATATTAAAAAAAAAGACATGACATTACTTGGAGTATCCTGCTCCCTGGAGTTGAGTGCGTTTCTAAATTTTTCAACCATATTGCTAGTTATTTCTGCTGTACCAATTTTTATTAACAAAAATCCAAAGTCTGCGTGATAAATGTGCAGAGATTCCCAGATAGCTACTTCCTTGTGTTCTATCTTCTATATTTAAATGTAAAAGACAAGTCTTAATAGTTTTAGTCGTTTACTCAGTTTGTAATGGTTTAAGGCCTCCTGCGGATGACCCCAGTTCATGCAAATAAAGAACATGCTCCGCCTGACTTACTTCATCTTTGGATCACAAACTAAAATCCCAACCTAAAGATTTAGTCATGACTGGTTTTCCCCAGTGTCCCTCTGGTAGATGCAGCCAAAATTTACTGAAGAAAATGCAGGTTCATATTATGTTCAAAGCTGTTTCTTATTTAGTTAATATTCCACCAACTATTAGCAAGAGAATTTCAGATTTAGTTAAATGATAGTATTCAACTGGACGTTGTTTATAAACACATTTAACACAAAGTGACATTAAAAGGTTTGAAAGTGCAAAAAAAAAAAAAAAAAAGAAAAGCCCTCTTCTGCAGAAGGGACGGCTACACAGAAGAAATAAAAATTTCTGATAAACATGAAAAAGACCCTTAATTTATCATTGAAATGCAAATTGAAATAACAGTGCAATTCCATTTTCACTTTCAAATTGGAAAAAAATGTTTAAATGATCATTATCAGTGATGAGGAGTATGAAGCAAGAGGAATTCCATACATTACTAAGAGGGCTGGAAGTTAGAACTATTTTTTCTTGCAGATTTGACATTATATATTAATAGCTTTAAATTTTCCATTATCTTTAGATCTATAGATTCAACTACTCAAGTTCCGCTGTTCAAATTCAACTATTATCCCTAGGAAACAATCAGAGCTATATACAAGGTTTATGCAGAAAATTTCATGTCACCATTATTTATAATAGCCTACAAATAGAAACAACCTAAACGTCTAATAGTAGAGGAAATGTTAGCTCAATTATGGTCTGTCAATGGCATGCAATATTTTTTTTATTAGACACCATGTTATTTAACGATCTGGGAAACACTTTGGATATAAAGTAAAGTGAAAAAATCAGAATACAATATTACATGGTCAATTCAGATTTTTATTGAGTTAAAGGTGTTTTGTGTAAGAAGAAAGAAACAACAAAATATTTCTCTGGGTGATAAAATAGTATAGGTATAAAATATGTACAAGAGATTATATTAGCAATTCAGTAGCTTTCTTACAACCGAGAATCAATGTACTTCTTTCAAAAGTAGAGTACATTGTTCCAGACTCACAAACGATTTGTTTTTACTTTTGCAGTACCTTGTCCAGTAGGAGAATTCTCTCGTTCTGGATTGATGCCTTGTCATCCATGTCCTAAAGACTACTACCAACCCGATCCAGGGAAGTCCTTCTGCTTATCTTGTCCCTTTTATGGAACTACAGCCACCAGTGGTACAAGATCTATCACAGATTGCTCCAGTAAGAAGATATACTTTATTTCTTACCGAATCCTGAGTGTTGGAGATTTGTGTTTGTGATAGTCTCGATTCTCAATATTCCTGTTTTCAGGGGATTTGGGTGTCTGGTCTTTTGAGGCCTTTATGACTCAAAGATTCTTACTTTGGGAACTCTGAACTTGACAGCTTCCCAATTTCTTTCTAAGAGTCTAGAATTTAATAATAGACCGCATCCATCTATACACTCTCTATTTTTACTACTAGTAAAACAGAATACATGTGACTTTACCTGCTCTGAGACTGGAATATTGATCATAGTATTTAGGCAGAGTCTCTGTATGGGCAATATCTACCACACACTAAGAGGGTTTTCTAATATTTTCTTATTAATCTTATTAGGTTTCAGTTCAACATTCTCAGCAGCAGAGGAAAGTGTAGTGCCCCGTGCTTCTCCGGGACATATCAAAAAGAAGTATGAAACCAGCAGTCAGGCAAGTCCCTTTTATACTTACAGAATCATCTCCAGTGGAATGTTTGGAAAACACTTTATCATTACACATTACACAGAGGAATACTACCAAAGTTGGAACCTTAAGTAATCAAGTCTCAGGATCATTATCAATGAACAATAGTATTTACTTGTGACTTCCAATAAGAACTTTCCAAAAATGCAGCGTTAGAAAAGTTCTAACTATCAAAAATTGGGAATTTTTCCCAGCAATGTCTGGCACAGAGAATGTGTAAATGTGGGGAGCCTTTAAATTCATTAGTAATTAACACGTCAAGCTTAACCTATCATCTGAGTAAGAGGCCTCTGGTTTAGCCAAAGGCCTTTTCTGATTGGCAGGAAGAGTTACTCAATAATGTCCATTTAAATTTTTGTCAAAAAAAGTTAAAAGATCATTTATTAGAATAATGTATGGGTTTTTAAAAATTAAGAAACATAATTCATGAACATAACTAAACTGTTTTCCTTAAAAAAAAAAAGACTAGTGAAGATTACCAATTATTTTGGTAGATTCAGCCATTACTCTGAATAGACTTTGCTCAATGTCATGATAAATTCTTTAGCTTTAAGTATTTTTAAGAAGGATAATAAGGTTGTATTTTTTATTTCAACTTCCTACAGTCTCGTCCAAACATACAACTTGTAAGGGCTTTGAAAGTCATATTTGAAACTGAGCCTAGCAGACACAGACATTTCTAAGAATTGCTAGAGTAGTGACTATCAACCCTGGAGACATATTAGAATCCACTGGCCAACTTTAAAATATAATAATGCACAGATCACACTCCCAGAGATTCTGATTTAGCTCATCTGGGTTGGGGCCCTATCCTTTATACTTTTAAAGCATCCCAAATGGTTTCTAACATGCAGCCAGCCTTTAGAAATACTTAAAATCATCACTCAAGAATAATATGTCATATGTGTTCATATATGGCAGGCACCTACATGATGCAGGCAGTGGGCCAGCTAGCTTGAGTGAACTCACCTGGATACAGGGACCACCTGTCTAATCCTGCAAACCTTCAAACTCCTAGTCAGAATTACTTCGAAATGATTGGAGTGTTTTGTCTCTGATAGATTTCTTTTTTTGCCATTGGTAGGTTTTCCATGAATGTTTCTTAAATCCCTGCCACAATAGTGGAACCTGCCAACAGCTTGGGCGTGGTTATGTTTGTCTCTGTCCATCTGGATATACAGGTAACATAGAGAAATGCAAATTTTAGTATGTTTTTCAGATGAAATATTGTAACTTGCATATCAAACTATGGAACCCTAAAAATTAACCCTATAAGATAAATACATTGGGCCATATCAGTGCAAAAAAATTTAGTTGAACAAGATAAACCAAGGTGAAAAAAAATATACATATCTTACAAATGGCAGTTCTCCTTGCACATTTTGAAGGAAGAACAAAGAATCATCTTTCTATGAAAAGTCACATCATAACTCACAATTTAAAGAGGAATACAGTTTCAGAGCCATGACCAAGGTTCCATACTAAAACAAATGTATAATATGATACCCAACATAGAACAGATTGTCCAGCACAAATATTTTTAAACAAACTCCAGTTTCTCTCATTGGCTTCACATTAATGGAAGTTCTTATGAATGGCTATGATTTGTTGCTTTGTTTCTATCTTTCTGGAAGCTGTTCTTGGAAAAAGAATATGGCTTTGAACTTGATTATGTAGCAATTATATAACAATTATATCTTCTTGTAGTGTAATTCACATTCCAGTTCAGTTCAGAAATATAATTATTGAGGGGGAAATGAACTATATCTGAAAACTGCAATTTATTTCAACTAATTCACTATTTTCTCCTAGAAATGCAGTTTTTGCATTTTTTCTGACTTTTGTACAGCCAATGTGAAATGTCATTTCAATGAGAAAGATGTTATTAAAATAAAAGAATTCACCACAAAATTAAAATAAAAGAATTTACCACAAAATGAGCAAAAGGAAAATTGGAAAACAGAATGTAGCCCAGGGCTATCAAGAATATTGGCATTCCACTTATTTCATTCCATTTATATGTGTATGTGTGTCTCGATTTTTATAAAAGATTTTGTCCTAACATTCCATAAGAAATAATGGCTCTTGTCCCAGAATTTTTTAAGCAAGTGGTGATTGAGAAAGGGCATAATTTGGACAGTGGTTCTCAAATTTTGATGTGCATCAGAATTGTTGGGAGGGCTTCTTAAAACACAGAGTGCTAGACCTGAACCCAGAATTTCTCATTCAGTAGCTCTAAAGAAGTTTTCATAATTTGCATTTCTATTACATTCCCAGGTAATTGCTGATGCTGTTGGTCCAGGGGCCACACTTGGAGACCCCCTGGTGTAGAGGAAGAACATGGGTTTCTGGCAGAGCTAACCCACAGATAGCTTGTGTGCACCCTCTCAGAAAATATGTCTGCACTCTAGGACACCTGGCATATGAGCTGATATCTGGCAGGACTTAGCCCTACCCCTACTCCTCAGCCTTGGTAGCAAGTATATATGACTCTACACTTTGCACTTTGGAGTTAAATTAATTTTATGCTCCCAAGTCTTCCCCCAGCACTACCTACCACCAACTTCTAACTTGGGATTTTCTGCTATCTTTTATGTATTCTTATAAGGATATCCTTTAAAAAATATTTCATTTATTAATTTATTTGAGAGAGAGAGAAAGTAAGGGGGGAAGGGCTGAGAGGGAGGGAGAGGGAAAAGCAGGCCCTGGGCTGAGTATGAAGCCCCAAGATCCCAGGACCTTGAGAGCATGACTTGAGCTGAAACCAAGAGTCAGACACCCAACCTACTGAGCCACCCAGAAGCCCCTCCTTATAAGGATATCTTTTTTAAAAATTATTTATTTATTTGAGAGAGAGAGCAGAGAGGAGGGTCAGAGGGAGAGGGAGAGAGAAACCCAAGCAGACTCCACACTGAACACGGAACCTGACACAGGGCTCAATCTCGTGACCATGAGATCATTACCTAAACCCAAACCAAGAGTCAAGGTGAAACCAAGTGTCAGATGCCTAACTTACTGCACCACCTAGGTACCCCAAGATATCTTGAATCTCTAGAAAGAGGCAATACTTTTATTAAATGCTTAACTAGACAGTAGCACTCAAGGAATATTTCCCTTTCCTTCACCCCCACCACTCCCTATAAATTCAATTATTGAGATCATACCTTTAAATGATCATGGTTCTGTTTTTATTGATCCCACTCTTTGATTGTCCTTCAGTATTTGGTTTGCATTTTAGGCTTAAAGTGTGAAATAGACATTGATGAATGCAGCTCACTGCCATGCTTCAACAATGGAATTTGTAAAGACCTAGTTGGGGAATTCATTTGTGAATGCCCATCTGGTTACACAGGTAAGAGGAAAGTTTCTTGTTTTTACAATATAAACCTTGGAATCCTTAAAATTTCATTGCTGGAAATCAAAACCACAATGAGATATCATGTCACACCTGTTCAAATGGCTGTTATCAAAAGACAAGAGATACCAATCTTGGTGAGGACATGGAGAAATGGGAACCCTTGTTGTGTACTGTTGGTGGGAATGTGAGTTGTTACAACCACTATGGAAAACAGTATGGAAGCTCCTCAAAAAATTAAAAATAGAACTACTGCATGAGCCAGCAATTCCACGACTGGGTATCTATCCCCAGGAAATGAAATCATTATGTGGAAGGTTTTTTCATTGTAGCATTGTTCACCGTAGCCAAGATATGGAAGCAAGCTTAAGTGTATTCTCAAGATAAAGAGAATATGATTGAGCTATACATAATAGAATATTACTCAGCCATAAAAAGAAGGAAATCCTGCCATTTGCAACAACATGGATAAAAATTGGAGGCATATGCTAAGTGAGATAAGTCAGACAGAGAAAGACATACTGTATGATCTCACTTATATGTGGAATCTAAGAAAGGCAAAGTCATACAAATGGAGAGTAGAATGATAGTTGCCAGGGGCTGGGCGTGGGGTTATTGGGAATATGTTTTATAAGGCTACAAACCTGCAACTAGTTGATAAACAAGTCATGTTTAAGAACTCAAGGAATAAATTCAGCAAAGAGGTAAACGACTAGCAAATACTATAAAATTTTTAAGATAGACAACACTTATACTAACTAAAAGAAAAGCTAGATATCCATGGTTATCATTTTTCATTGTATGTTGAAAATGTCAGATTTCTTGCTAGAAAATTTTTGCAATAAATAGAATGGAAGAAAACGTCTTATTTCAATGTATTTGGCAAAGAGCAAACTTTTCACAAACATATTGACCATGATTTATGATTATCCTGTTCTTACACCTGAACAGGTTGCTTGAAAACTATTAGTCTTAAATTCCTTTCAGGTTTTCTCCAGCTAACATATTCTGTGATTTTTTTGAAGGCCAACTATGTGAAGAAAATATAAATGAGTGTAACTCTAGTCCTTGTTTAAATAAGGGAACCTGCACTGATGGCTTGGCTGGCTATCACTGCACCTGTGTGAAAGGATACACGGGTAAGATGTTTCCATTCTTCTTACATTGTCTTAATGTTCTGCAAGGCACCAAAAATTACTACATTTTTAAGCGTCATATTATGTTACTGTTCATTTTCTGATTTTGTAACTGTGCTGTGATTATCCAGAGAAAGTCCTTATTTTTGAGGAAATGCACACTAAAGGATTTTGGGGTCAAAGGGCATCAGGGGTGCAGTTACTCTCAAACAGGTTAGAAAAAAGAGTGTGTGTGTGTGAGAGAGAGAGAGAGGGAGAGAGAGAGAGAGAGGAGAGAGAGAAGGGAGACACAGAAAGAGAAGGAGACATAGAGAAGACAAGAGTTTATGTGCTGAGATTAACATTCAAGAAGGCACTGGAAATAAATCATTTAGGATAATATTGCAAATAGATGCTAAACAATATGATATAAATATATATTAGAAGAAATATATATAAAGAGAAAGTTCCCAAAAAATGACCAGTGAAGGAAAAAGACAAGGTCAAAGAAACAGAGGAAAATTTTGAACTAAATTTGTTAGTTTCATTTTTTAGCATCATCTGAGTTAGATGTCCATTGCAAATGCTATTTTCAGAGAGACCCAAGATCAAAAGAGAAGATTATCAAAAACACAATCCTAAAATGACTTACAAAAGCCAAATCTCACTCAAGAGTGGATCTCAAACCAGTGTGAGAGACCAGTAGTTCTGCAGCTTCCATTCCAATCCTTGAGGACCAACATCCTCCAAGAGGTCAACACCTGGATCCTAGTTTCCCAAGGGGGGTTAACATTTGGGCTCTTTCTCACCCTCCTCCATCCCCAGGCCTGCACTGTGAAACAGAAGTCAATGAATGCCAGTCAAGCCCATGCTTAAATAATGCAGTCTGTGAAGATCAGGTTGGAGGATTCTTGTGCAAATGCCCTACTGGATTTTTGGGTACCCGGTGTGAAAAAAACCTGGATGAGTGTCTCAGTCAACCATGCAAAAATGGAGCTACCTGTAAAGATGGTGCCAATAGCTTCAGGTAAAGCCCTAGGTCTGGTTCTTCGCACTAGTTTTATTTTCTCAACCACTCAGTATCCTGCAGCCTTTATGGAGTATTACTCTAAGTCCCAAATCAGCCAGTCCCTAATTCTAGTCCAAGGATAGGCTGCCGTAGATGCTCCCCACCACCTGGGGTTCTGATTCTCCAAGTCTGGGGTACAGTCTGTAATTTTAAAATAGGTCACCTATGTGTTTTAAGTTCCCTAATGGTTCTGATGCATGACCAGATTGCGAAACCACTGTTCTGTCATTGGGAAGTCATAAAAGATGAAAGAAAACACAGTAACACCGAAGCACTAGACAAAACTCATTTTTAAATTTGAGCTGGAGTTTTTGCACTAGCTGAAGTCAAAAGGAATTGTGCCATCATTCTGTTACAGTCCCAATTGACATTCTCTATCTGTGGTTTTCAAACGCTTTTTTTTTTTTTTTTTGGTTTAGTAACCCTTGGTTCATAAGAAATCTAATACGAATGTAAACAAGTGAAATAATAAAAACTAACCTTTTGTGGTTGAAAACAGCAGGATTTGTAGAGGAGACATGCTTTGTCTTCCTGAGGCAGCTCTTGGGGTGCCAGTAGAATACAGTTTAAAAATCAGTACTCTCCATCACTGTCAAGTTAACTCCGTTACATCCGTTCCCCTTGCAGGGTCTGTGGCTTCTGCAGTACAAAATACAGACTGTTCTTGCTTGCAGAATCTTAGGAAACTTTATTATCCTCAACATGCCACTGGCTCTGGAAGCTTATGAAACTTAAAAGGGAAAAAAAAGCACCCCTGTTGCACCATTTCCTAGTCCTCGTGTGGTTCAGCCTCCTTCAATACTGTTCCCCCAACAGATAGCCAGGGCATAATCCAGAAGAAATAGGCAACCCATTCTGCCAATGAGACTTTTACTCTTGATATGGAAATGAAGTCTCAGCAGTATAACTGTTTCATCTTTTCAGAGGCTTTTGCTTCTTCTGGCCTATAGTGCCTAACCATAGGCAATGAGAAATTTCCAGAGAAATAAAAGTTCTAAATTCCACCCTCACCCCCGAGAGTCAAAAACAATTGATGAATACCAAATTTGCCTAAATCCTAAAGAGGAAAAGGGAAGGTAAACTCTCCTAACTCAAAGGGACTGTGAGTTGTCACCAAAGTGAACTTACTTCGTAGACAAGGATATTGGATTGCTAGAATGACGTCCAACATGGGCAGATAAAGATGAGTGAAATTCTAGCCAAAATAGATTTATCATCAGATGCAGAGAACTCAGTGAAGATTCCACCCCAATTCCAACGTAAACATGCTAATGACAATGTTAATTAGCATGTATTGCACAGGTCCTTTTTAATTAAAAATATATTTCAGACATACAGAAAATTACCAAGAACAGTAAAGGTCACGCACTTATCACAGTAATTACCAAATCTTAGCATTTTGCCATATTTGATTCACATCTTTTGTTTTAAAAAAACACCTTCTAAAGATACTTTTAGAGTTCATCCAATACACCACACATGCACACGCACACACACAAACACACATACACTTTCCTCTTCTTCCTCAGTAGTAACCACTTTTCTGAAGTTGGTGTACATCTTTCTCATTCAGACTTCATATATTACTACATAAACAGTGCATAGCACACTTTTACATGTTACATAATTGGTATCATACTATATACATCCTTTTGCAATTTGGGTTTTGTTTTCACTCAACATCACGTGTTGTCATGGTTGATACATTTGGCTCTAGTTCATTTATTTTAACTGCTGATCAGTAGTCCATGATCATACCATAGTTTATTTTCCCACTCTCCTCTTCATAAACACTTAGAATAATGCTGTTATGAATGTTCATTACCTGTGTCCTTTTGTGCCTGGGGAGTAACTTCTGAGAGCACATAAGTAGAGATGGATATACAGGCTCTGGGAATGCAAACCCTCAATCTCATATGACATTGCCAAATTGTAATTCTCTTCACTATGTGAGATTTCCCAGTTCATGACACCTTTGTCAACATTTGATCTCAACATTTGATACATTTTCCATTCTGATAGGTTTAAACGGTTTGTTGCATACCACAGAGACTGTATGGCATACTGTTTAAGAACAAGGCACTTTGGTTGGGTTTAAAATTCTACTCCACCGCTTAGTGACCAAGAGACTTGGGCAGATTAACCTGAGCCATAGTTTACTCATCTGCAAAATGGGAATGAGGACAATGTTACCTCATTATAAAGACTGGATTAATATATATAAGGCCTTTGGAACAGCATGTGAATTTTTTATATTTTTTCCTAGCACTTCTACAGGGAAAGAAACTCCCAGTGTGTAAATAATAATTCACCCGGACCAGAACCACTATTTTTGCTGCGACAACACTTCAGATATATATTATCTTAAATAGGTTTAATTAAATGAACTTTAAAAAAAAAGGTAACTGATATTTAAAGCACTGTTTTGATGTGGAAAAAGTTTCATCATTTCAGAGCAGTTTACTCAATTCATCTAAACTAAAAACAAAACAAAACCCCAGTTCACCCATTTCTCCCACCCCACTCTGACCCCAACGAGCACCAGTCTGTTCTCTGCCTCTGTGAGCTTTCAGTTTTCAAAGTCCTTTGAGACATTGTCATCATAAATGGGAGACTTCCTCAAATGCACTTCTATGTGTTAATAATATTTTGTTTCTTTGCAGGTGCCAATGTGCAGCAGGCTTCACAGGGCCACATTGTGAAGTAAACATCAATGAATGTCAGTCTAACCCATGTAGAAATCAGGCCACCTGTGTGGATGAATTAAACTCATACAGTTGTAAATGCCAGCCAGGATTTTCAGGCAGCAGGTGTGAAACAGGTATATAGGAGCTCAGTATTATTAATAACAATACTAAAAATAATGAGATTATAGCAATGTTAGTTTTTGCCTGTTTCAAGCCCTGTCTACATACTAAAAATGATGCTAAGCATTTTATACTTATTTAATCTTGACAGCGATCCAGCAAACTAGGTCCTATTAACCCTAATGGCAAAGGTGAGGGAAATGAAGCTCAGAGGAGAAAATTGAATTACGTAAAACTCTTCATCTTCTACATGTCTAGAAAGGACACTTGATTTAGGAGCTCAGAGTTCAAAGACATGTTTGAGAACCAGTGCTAAGCTGCTTTCTCAGGGTGCTGGTGACTTTTAGCTGTAGGACTTTCATTTTCTTGATGGGGTATGCATGACTGGGGCAGAGCTGAATTGCTCATGAAATAGGGAAGAATGAGGGCCCTGAGTAGAAGTGGAATGTGGCTCTTGCAGTTAACCCCCTTTTCTCCTGCAGCCTCAATTACCCCACTCTGTGAAGTCATCCCATCAGCATATGGACGTGCCCTAGAGTCTTCTATCTTTATTAACTTCCTGATTCCACCTCTCCTCCCAGATTTTTCCTATTTCTCTGCTTCCTTGCCCTACTGAATTCTTTCGCTATCTTAGATATCACTGATTATTTTATTTAGAAGGATGTGAGCTGTATTTTGTAAATAATATATAGATATTTAATGTTGAAACTGTATCTCAGATCATCATATTGACTGAAATGGGCTTCTTTGACAGTAGTACTGCATATCTACTGCTTACCTTGGACAACTGAAGAAATGCCTCATAAGTGCTATAGTCTACACACTTTTCTTATTTGTTACAGACCAGTCTTCAGATTTTAACCTGGATTTTGAAGTTTCGGGTACCTATGGTTATGTCATGCTAGACGGTGTGCTTCCATCTCTCTGGGCTATAACTTGCACATTCTGGATGAAATCCTCTGACATCAATAATTATGGAACACCAATCTCCTATGCACTTGAGAATGGCAGTGATAATACCTTCCTCCTGACTGATTACAATGGGTAAGCAGAAATGTCAGGAAAGACATACTCTGGATCTTATCCTGGCACCAAGTTAGAAATGACATGGGGGTGGGGGATAGAGGAACAAGAGGGTCAGGTGCTCCAGCAGGACAACAGAGTGATGAGTGACCAGTGACCAAACAAAGCATCTGGACAAGTTCTGTAAGAAAGCAAAGTTTCAGCGATAGCACCTTATGCATGAATTATGTTTTGCTCTTTGCTAAGTGTTACCTCATTTGATCTTCACAATGACCTGAAGAACTAGCTTTATAGGTAGCAAAACAAAGTTTCAGAGAGACTGAATGATTTGCCCCAAATCTCACACTCTGGGAGTGGTAGAGCTAAGTCTCAGACTCTGGCTCTTAAGACTGATGCTCTTTCTTTTATATGTCAGAGCCTGCAGGGATTTAAGGATTTCAGTGACACACTGACCCATGGAAGACACATATATGAAATATGACTCCATCTACAATCTCAGGTGTACAGATGATATTTATTTCTCTTTGGGTCAGTTATTAATTCAACAGCAGGGCCCGTCTCTCTCTGGGCAGTCAGAAAGGCAAACCTCAATTGTTTCCCTCCTTCTTTCTCTACTGAATGCTTTTCCTATCATAGATTCTCATAGACTGTGCAAGATGCACAGGGTCTTGCTAAAGAGCCACAGACTTGGCCAGGACTTCCATCACTGTCCTCTGTCCATACTGCTTATCACTGGGCTGTGTGAACTGCTTCAGCCTCTGTGGGCCCTCCAGAATCACAGCTCTTTGCCACATGGAATCCCAATCTTCAAAATAGACAGATTCTGTGGTGGCCTTTTCATCTCAGATCCACCCAAGTTTCTGTCCTGTTGCTGCTGAGCAGGATGCAGGCCCCACTGAGCTCTCTTTCCTTTCTTCAGTCCATGGGACTCACTATTCCGATGGAACCCTCCCCATCCCCAAACCCTATTCTTCTGAACTGACCTGAACTTTTAAAAATAAAATCCAAGAAATTTGCACAAAGCTCCCCTGAGGCAGAATGTATACAAAGAGAGAACCTGTTACCCACTTGAATAGGGGAGGAGGATGGGAAAACACAAAGAGGGAAATGATTGGTGTGATAAAAATACCATTTTTTCCATAAATATCTTTGAATAGGAACTGAGAAGATGTGGAGAGAGGTATGCAATGAATTCTTTTTTTTCCTTATCAATTTTCCCTATTTTTTCTTTTTCTCCAATTGCTATTGAAGATATTTCATTTTAAACTGCTTAGTATCTTTGACATTCCCCAATGTGACATGATTGTTAGAATCTTTTGCTGTTGGTCATCTTTGTTCTATTTATGCTTGCCTTTGGATCGACATAGTTCGTCTGCTATGTGACTGTTTTGGCAATCCAGACAGAGCTTTCTGGATTCTGTGAGACATCTAAAGTTTGTTCCTGGTCTTAGGAAAACATCCATTCTGAAGGAAGGAAACCAGTCTGATGTTTGTACAGCTCTCATTCCTTCCATTCTTGATTCACTTTCTCCGGAATAGACAGTTGGTAAATTATCTCAACTTGGATCAACTTTTCTCATTATCTTAAGACTTTTTCCTACCCCTTCGTGTTTAAGAAACATAAAGTAACTTTCTTTTTTTTAAAGATTTTATTTATTCATGAGAGACATAGAGAGAGAGCAGCAGAGACACAGGCAGAGGGAGAAGTAGGCTCCATGCAGGGAGCCCAATGTGGGACTCGATCCCGGGTCTCCAGGATCACGCCCTAGGCTGAAGGTGGTGCTAAACTGCTGAGCCACCCGGGCTGCCCAAGAAACATAAAGTAATTTTCAGTTAGCTACAATGAAGTATAATTTATAAATCAACCCTGCCGTATGAAATATGACCAAATGGAGAAAAAGATGTAACGGTTTCACTTGAAGTGCTTTACATACAAAAAAAGAAAAAGAAGAAAAATAGTAATGTGGCCCCACAGATGAGATTACGACATATGACTGATGACTCTATTGTCTGGAATCTTTTCACAGCTGGGTTCTTTATGTGAATGGCAAGGAAAAGATAACAGATTGTCCCTCCGTGAATGATGGCCATTGGCATCACATTGCAATCACTTGGACAAGTACTGATGGAGCCTGGAAAGTCTATATCGATGGGAAATTATCTGATGGTGGCCTGGGCCTCTCCATTGGTTCAGCCATACCTGGTAGGTCTTAGCTAAAGGAATATAATTCTGTTAGTTACCAGATGTGGTGGTGCTTAGATAAATATCAAGTTTGCTAGCTTTGTTGTCCTTGGTTCTACACAAAGGTCAACAGTTATCTCTCCCATTTTCTACTCCCTGATTATCCAGACTGAATTATTACAAGCTTTTCCTAGGTGAGCTGTATGACTCTCTGTGTAAGAAATGCATTTGGGGACTTTTAGTAAGACTAGGAAGACGCAGACTGAGCTATCAATGGAAGGTTACTAAACTGTCTTACAAGGAGGAGATGAATTGCTGGTATGTTTTGTTTTGTGATCTTATACATAGTACACAAGTATATCCAGTGTATAAGCTGCAGCACTGCTAAAACGTCTGTCTTTATGCCCTTTTCAAATAGAACTCCAACTTTCTTCTAAGAATACTTTTTAAAAAATGTATCCAAGGAGTTTTCTTTTGAAGGAATACAAAAGCATTAGGTGATACGGTGTTCTTAGTATCATACATGGCATCTATCTAGATCCTTCTATGACAGATATCACATGAAGAGGAAAAGTTGGAGATGCCCTGTAGTAAATAAGGAAACATTCAAAATGTTTCAAAAAGAAGTGGCATTATCAGGTGGAAAGGTGGTTCCTTTTTGTGTCTAAGTATTCTTGTTTTCAGTTCTCTCTTCCCTGGATAGTGGGGTTGCAGGTGGCTTTTATTTTCTTCTTTATTCTGTTCCTGTATCTTATAATGAACATGTATTTCCTTTATGATAAGAAAAAGAACATTTCTATATTTAAAAAAAATTACACCCTGATAAAAGAGTGAAGGTAGGTTTCCTATCTTCCTGAAGATAGGAAACTAAAACACAGAGATTGTAATAGTAGCCAACAAGGTGTGTTGTCTCACCACAGCAGTCAGAGTGAATTGGAGTCCATAAGTATTGCAGAGCTCCCAACTGACAGAGCTTAGTGGATAGCTAGCTTTAGTTTGGGTGATTAGGGCTATTAAAGAGTCTAAAAGCTGAGAGAAGAATTATAGGAAAAAGGATAATTATCAGAACAGGGGTTAGAGGTGAAGGAAGAATTTACATTTGATTTTACAAATATTGGGTTTGAATTCTAATCAAAGGAATACATGCAACTAGAAACATAGGTTGATATCGCTTTATATCAAATTGACAAAGTCGTTCTTAGTGATAAGATGTGATTGGCAAGGATTCAGCGTGGCAGACACTTTTATAGAGTGCTGGTATGAAAACTGGTACAACCTTTCTGGGAAGCAGTTTAGGAACTTTCATCAAGAACCTTAGGGAAACCCTTGGCACATAACCAACAATTCAACTACCAGGAATCAGATTAAAGGAAATAATCAATGATCTGAATAAATACTCATGTATCAATACATTGATCTCAGTGATACTTCAGTACCAAACTTGGAAACAACTCCAGTATCCAATAAGAAATGGTTGCTTAGTTAGTTAGTTAATTAATTAATTGGATTGTTGTGCATTCATATATAAAATAGCTATTAAAACTCATGAAATGAGAACTACCTAAGACAAAAAGCCAGATTCAAACATCATTCATAGTATGATCCTGAGTTGTGTGTTTTAAAATCTCTCTGTCACACACACATACACATACACAAAAAAAAATGATAAAAATAAAATGTGGAAGGAAACACACAAAACTGTTTAATGACTTTTTTTTCTGGATAAGAGGAATTCCTCCTGCTTTATTTTTTCAAATTTTCTTCCGTGCGCATATTAATTTTTAATGATTAATAAGCAAAGAACATAGTTTGGGAAATCCCAAAAGGGGGTTCTACGTGTATCAATTGGCAGGTGAATGATATCAGATGGGGAGATTATTGAAGGAAGAAGAGAGGAGGCCAGAGGTGGAAGCCTGGGTGCATCAGCATCTTAAGAGGCAAGCAGAGAAGAGGGACAGAATTAGCACAAAGGTTCAAGGAGAACCAGGAAACGATGCCTTTATGAAAAATAAGTGGAATCAGCCAGGCCCCTGGCAGGAAACAGGTGGCATACCCAAGTTGGATAACTGAAGAGAGTTTAAGGAAGGGACGATTTTCAAAGATGTGGCCAGAGTTTAGGCAAACTTGCAGTTCTGGAGAGTATTCACCCAGCAGAAGCCATGATGTTCTATAGAGGAAAGCAGCCACCGCCAATCTGTTGCCTGGGGGAGAAGGTATCCAGGAAATTAAACTTCTCTTTCATCCCACTTTCTAGTCTTGGGTTGGTCCTTCCATTGGTCAGGTATGAACAGAAGCCAGAGGAACTGGGCAACCAGGCGGTGTCAACCTTTGAGGGTACAAAGCAGAGTTGAGAAGGGTAGCAGGTGTCTCTGGAGGGGCAAACACAGACCATCCAGACAGTTTAATAGAATGAAATGGCCAGTACGAACCAATGATAAAAAGAAATCACCAGAGGTGGATATAAAAGAGTTTCCATTGAATTTGGCAATTAGGTGGCCACTGGCAAATTGAGAGTACCTTGGAATTGGCGATAGAAGTGTAATCATTGTAGGGTTCAGAAGAAGAAAAGGCAGAGCAGCTACTGGTAGTAGTTGTCATGGAGGGTAACTTCCTGGAAGAAAGGAGGCAAATTAGAACTTCCCTGTTTTGTTGACATAAAATATTACCGGCACATATGTTTATGTGTGGTTTTTATCATGAAGTGTTTGTAAGTCTGATGTAATATTCTAAATAAACCCTCTCTGATTATTTTTAAGTGGCTCTATATACAATATTGAATTTGTCCTTATAGGTGAAACATGCAATTTTTTTTTTTGGTAAGGTAATTTGGTTTTTTCAACAATTTTCCCTGGTACGTTTATATTGCCAATGCTTTCGTTCAGTTAGCATTTTAGGAATAACAGACAATGAAGTCAGTTTTCCTCCTCCTTTGTCTCCTCTCTTTAGGTGGTGGTGCATTAGTTCTTGGGCAAGAGCAAGACCAGAAAGGAGAAGGATTCAACCCAGCTGAGTCTTTTGTGGGCTCCATAAGCCAGCTGAACCTCTGGGACTATGTCCTGTCTCCACAGCAGGTCAATTCCATTTTCAGTGTATGACAGTAATGAGATACAAAGGTACAAACCTAGTAAAAATGTGAACAGACTAACGTTGCCGTATCTTACTGTAACCTCTGGGTTTTCAGACTTGACCACCGATATCATTTGATGCTATGGTCGTAGACTAAGCTGGGCAGAGGTTACCTAAGGTTGCTTTCAATGAATTCCCTCTTCTGTTTCTTGGTGCTGTTTTTAAATTTTATTGGATATGATTATTTTAGGATAATTGTAAATAACTGATCTCCAAGCTGGAGAGAATCAGAGAGATACTGGTTCAAATCCCTTGGACTAGAGATGCAGAAATTGAGGGCTGGTGCAAGATCATGCTTAGAGAGTGACAGAGAGGCCAGCAGTTAAAGCCAGGCTGGAGTGCAACAGCCTGAGTTCAAATCCCAGTTGTACAACAGCCTTGTAGTGATGACTTTGAACATATTTACTCCATCCCTCTATGCTTCGGTTTCCTTATCTGTGAAAGATGAACAGATAGCATAGTGAGTAGTGAAGTTTCAGCAGGATCGCACACAACATGGCACGTACAGCAGTGGTCTCGTTTGCCACCCAGCAAGGGCTTCCTCAATGTCTGCCCTTATTATTATAGGAACAGAACTTGTCTAGGCTTCAGTTTACCCACCTCTACATCAGAGGCAGAAGACAGGAGAATGAGGAGTAGGGAACATCTACAATACCTCATTAAACTGCAGAACTTTAGAAATTCTATGTGGAGAATTTCAGAGTATCTGGCAACTGACCTATTTGGGAGAGGGGATGATGGAAGTGGAGGAGAGAGGGGGAGGGAAGAGACTTATCTGTTACTCCTGAAACCATACTGTTCAAAAGCCGCCTTCCCTTCACCCCCACCCACCCCCACCCCCAGATCTGTGAATGTTTTCAATAGGACTACGTTAAGCTATAATAACTCTGTCATATGGAAACAAGTAAGGTGTATCTAAAGACATGTGTTTACACTTTCAGGTGAAATCACTGGCTACCTCATGCCCAGAGGAACTCAAAAAAGGAAATGTGTTAGCCTGGCCTGATTTCCTGTCTGGAATTATGGGAAAAGTGAAGATAAATTACAAGAGCATATTCTGTTCTGGTTAGAATTTTCTTCTGTAAACTGGCATCTCTTGACTACTCCCAAGATTTTCTAGTGAAAAAAGAGACAGTTCAGAATTCCCTGTGGGTCAAGTAGTGTGTGCCTGTCAGCCTGCTGCTTAACCACTAATTCACATTTTCTTTACCTTCACCCAAAGGATTTATTTTTTAATACTCAAATGCACGCTGCAATAGAGAGTACAAAATTGATTGTGGAAGAAACTTGGACAATGATGAAATCAGATTAGGAAAATAGGATGAGAAGAGGGATACGGTTAATTTTTCAAATGCCACAAAAGCCCTAACCTGCGTGAGATGGGGTACCTGCAACCCTGTAATTCCCAGTGGCCATCTAGAGGCAGGTAGCATAGAGAGAAAAGCTATGGATGGTAGAGTCCACGCACTAAATAATCAAACTCTGAATGATCATAAAATCCAATGTATTTGAAGAAGTTTCTAAAGACGTCCTAGAATTCATGGGTTTTGATAACTTCTAAGTATCTTTCATCAATATTCCTAAAATACCACTTTTTTTTCTTAGAAAATATTCAGCTGACTTCTGAGGAAGGAGGAGGAAAAGTGGTTAACTCAAATAGTTTTTTCTCACAATTTTGCTCGCCAGTGATCTGGTCACGTGCCGCCTTGTCTTAGTAGCAGTAGAGTGGCGCTCACATGCTGGTGCCACATGTGATTTGAGACTTGACCTGGTGATGCTGCCACACTGACAAGCTCTGTGCCTGTGTTCTTTGCCTGCAGATTGCCCACCCTTAGAAGGATTGATACCTCACCTGCGAACCACGTCAGTAGACTCAAAGCCAGGCTCCAAAATCAGTCTGTTCTGTGACCCAGGCTTCCAGATGGTTGGGAACCCTGTGCAGTACTGTCTGAATCAAGGACAGTGGACACAACCACTCCCCCACTGCGAACGTGAGCTGCCTTTGTGGAAGGCATTTCAGTAGCTCCTGACAGTTGTTGCACCACAGGAACATTTTTCAGGAATGCTAGATAAAAGCTAGATACACCGCAGTAGTAAACACGGCAAATACTCATTGAGCAGTTCCCTCTCTATGCAGGACATGGGTGATGAGGAGACCAGCCCTGTGGCTGCACCCCACATGCAACAGGGAACTGCCACGGGAAGGGAAGACTGAACTGGGGCCCGGAGCCCAAAGAGAGATGGGTTACAGGCCGGGTGGGACACAGGAGAAGAGCTCTTGAGTTGAGTGCATCCATTCATTTATTTATCCAACGATTTTAAACCACCTGCTACATCGCTAGACAGCGACCTATGTTCTAGTGATGCAGCGGTTGGAAGAAAGTCTCTTTGGTGGAGTTTCCGCAGGAACAGGAGGGACAGAAAATAATGAGTAAATATGACTTATCATAAATAAGAACAAGGGCCAGAAGTAAAGGCTATGGAGAAAAATAAAGCAAAGGAGGGAAATCCCAAGCGAGGGGCTGGGTGGAAGGAGACTGCTTGTTTAGGTCGGGCGATAGCAACGTTTCTCCGTAGTGTTTATGCTCACTGACATATGTGGTCACCTGTGGCTTGTTTCTCTGCTCCCACTGGACAGTAGGCTCCGCAAGGCAGGCGTGTACCTCTGGGGTTCATTACTGTAACTTCAGCGCCTATGACAGTGTCTAGCAGGACCTTCATAAATATTTCAGTTTTTAATTCATGAATCGCGTGCCCACTCTGAGCCAGGCAGCCTGCTAGCTGCCAAGGGCACAGGTACGGCCACGGCCTGCTTCCACCCCTCCAGGGCTCTCAATCTGTGTTCGTGTCCAATGAAAACGTCCCGTTTAACTCAACTACTAGCTTAACATGAACCAAATGTCCTTGGAGCATTTCGCTCCTAATGTATGGTTGTGCTCTCCCTGCACGTTACAGGCATTAGCTGCGGGGTGCCACCCCCTTTGGAGAATGGCTTTTACTCCGCTGAGGACTTCCATGCTGGCAGCACAGTGACCTACCAGTGCAACAATGGCTACTACTTGTTGGGTGACTCAAGGATGTTCTGTACAGACAACGGGAGCTGGAATGGCATTTCACCATCATGCCTTGGTGAGATAAATCTTGGCAGTACTGTCTGGGTTTATTCTAGCTCCCTGGGAGACAATCATCCCAAATTCCTGAGGCTCTCTTGTGACATTCTTTTGTTAACTTCATCTCATCCCAGTAAGCTCTGGGCAAGCCACTGTGACAAAGCAGCTGTCTCTAGATGTGCCAAGAATATTTAGAATTGTTACCAGGCTCGATACCAAGATTATTTTTAATCTATCTCTGTTCTTCTACTTCCCCACCTATAAAGTGGGAGAATAACAGCTTTTATTGTGTATCTGCAATGTGATCATGACTACTATATTTGCTAGAGTATAGTTTATTTTTGCTATATGAAAATATCTCTGGTGTTATACGTTAAGCAATATGTAATGACTTAAGAGTAAAAACAAGTATTTGATACATAAGAAAAATCAATCAACTTCACTACCTGTAAGCTATCTTCATTTTAGACGTTGATGAATGCGCAGTTGGGTCAGATTGTAGTGAGTATGCTTCCTGCCTGAACACAAATGGATCCTACATTTGCTCATGTATCCCACCCTACACAGGAGATGGTAAAAACTGTGCAGGTAACTAGTACATGTATCATTGGGAAGTTTATTAATTTTTTATTTAAGTATATATTTATTTCAAATGTATGTTATTTAAAAAGACATCATTTTCAAGTGCAAAGGGCAGGTAGAGAAGATAAACCATCTTTAAAAAGACACATGAGTAATAACTAAAGGAGCTTTAAATTAGCATTGTGCCCTTCCCAACTTCCCAATCTCTAAAAAATAAAACTGAGAACCAACCATATCACCAGAAAGTTGAAGCAGTGTCCATATAGTACAAGAATCATAGAGGGGATTTAGAAATACAATCACTGGCCTCTATGGCCTCAGTCAGAGTAAAAAAAGATACTTCACCATCAGTGTGTTTCTTCTGCCTCAGCCACACAGAATTCTATTGTTGAAAAGAAATGGACATCTTGCCATATCACGTCTCTATATTTTGTGATAACTTTGATCAAACAGGCCATCTCTCAACTCACTGATGTCATTCTGCATTTATTGTGAGAAAGCAACTCCCATAAAATAGAAAGTAAAGACGAATTCTCAAAATCAAGTCTTATAATGGCATTCACTTTTTGAGAGGATTCATTTAAAGTTCTTGGCGGAGGAGGCCCCTGGGTGGCGCAGTTGGTTAACCAGCCAACTCTTGATTTCAGCTCAAGTCATGATCTTAGGGTTGTGGGATTGAGCCCCGGATCAGAACCCATGCTCAGCACGGAGCCTGCTGGAGATTGTCTCTCTCTCTCTCCCTCCTTCTGCACCTCCCCCAATGTGTGCGCTTTCTCTCTCTCTCTAAAATAAATAAATAAATCTTTAAAAAAAATACTTGAAGGCCTTGACTGATGGGGTGCCTGGGTGGCTCAGTATATTAAGCATCTGACTCTTGATTTTGGCTCAGGTCATGATCTCAGGGTCGTGAGATTGACCCCTGCATCAGGCTCCGTGCTGGGTGTGGAGCCTGCCTAAGATTCTCTCTCCCCTGAGACTAATGATGTACTATATGTTGGCTAATTGAATTAAAAAAAAAAAAAAAGATCCTCTCCCCCTGCTCCTCCCCACTCAAAAAAATAAATAAATAATTTTAAAAATAAATAAATAAATACAAATAAAGTCCTTGACTCATATGGCCAGAATTACTTTCAGAAAGATTGAATCAATATGTCTTCCCTTTTTGATAATTCAAGTTTTATAATTACTCATATCCAACTCTAGTCCTAAATATCCCTTTAACTTACTTCCCTTCGTAGAAGTGGTGACCAACCCCCAAATTTGCACATAGTAGGGATTTCTGATCCATAGTCTGATTAGAAACGCAGGCTGAGAATTTTTTTCCATCTCCTTAGGATACAGCCTTTACATCAATTTGACAGAAAGCCAGTTGCTTTTAAAAAGTAGGTGTGAAGGTGGGGGGAGATAGGAGAAGCTGAAGTTCTTTTAATAAATGCCCTGGCACCACCCAATAAACACCTCCCTTTCGGCCACATAAATTTTGTATATTTTTGTTAGTCATTGTGTTTCAAAATATTGTAGTTTGAATGCCTGTTAAATGTATGTTCTGCTCTAATGTCCAGTGTATCCCAAACCCTCCTGTATCTCCCTTCAAAAGCTTTTTTTATTTTTTTCCCCACAAGATTCAACTGGTACTTTAACTGTAGTGAAATTCTTTTGCTATGAGACCTTGCATGGTTGTATGAACACCCACTTATTGTCCCACAAAAACTTTGTCCTCTCTTTCAAGAACCTATAAAATGTAAGGCTCCAGGAAATCTAGAAAATGGCTACTCTTCTGGTGAGATTAATACACTGGGCGCCAGAGTCACATTCTCATGCAAGGAAGGATACCAGCTGGTGGGAGCCACCAAAATCACATGTTTAGAGTCTGGAGAATGGAGTGATCTGTTACCATATTGTGAAGGTATGTTTCATAAGTTCCCCATGTTCATGGGTGTCTGGCAATACTAAGCATTTAAGGTATAGACATGTCACGTATTAGGTTGTATCAATATTCTTTGTATTAAAAACCCAACTCTTAGGCTCATTTTTAAAGGCAATCAAGGTAACCCAGAGGTGCCCTTGGACTACTAAATGTGTGATTTCTTCTTTAAGATCCTAACAGAACATAGTATAACAATATTGGTCTTCCAGGTTTCATTAATTTCAATTATGTATATTATATCAAGGCAGATCCATTTGTGTGTCTTATTTCTTTACAGAGCTGCTTTACTTATAAATGTCTATAGCCAATAGCCCAGCGCTTCAGTGTATAATTTGAATAAATACGTCCATTTTCTGTGAATTACCCTGAAAGTTTTAAACAGGATGACCTCATAGTTTTTAATAAAGAATATTATTTTTGTAAAATAAGTTATTGCCATAAGGCAATAAACTTCTCGGTAATCTTAATTTTGACATTTGGATAAATAATGGAAACTTTCTATTTTAAGGCCATGTATCCATCAATTGGAATTAGCACCTTAAAAAAAAAAAAGGCAGCTCTTCAATGGAATTAATAGTGACATAAGGGTTTAATACAGGCAGTACTTTTATAAAATATGCTGGAAATTGCACCCTGTGATTTTTTTAAATAGAAAGTCAACTATGGTAAAAAAAAAAAAAAAAAAAAAAAAAAGGCTTTTTGTACACACTGTGAAAAAAGCAATACATACTTCTTTTGTTTCTCTACCTTGTAGCTGTTTTCTGTGGTGTCCCAGATATTCCAGAAAATGGTGACATTGATGTATCAGAATTTACCTATGGCAGTAAAGTAACATATAGGTAAGTGTGAAGGTTAAAACTACATTGTAAAAGTCGTTGATGACATGCAGGCTGTGATATAAAACTTAAAGAAAGAGAGAAGAAGATTCTCAGAGGATGGCTTTTAATTAATATGGAATTACTTAAATTATGTGTAGGATGAAGGAATCAAGTTCAATAGCCTAATGGTGATAGTCCTATCTAGAATCCTTAAATCCTCTGACAAGTTCCTTATTATTGTCACCAGCATCATTGAGGAGCTTTGAGAATGGATGCAATGGAGGAAGGTCCTGCAAACTAAGGAATAATCTTGGTTATAAGCTGGAGCTTTGGCTCTAGACCCACTATCTCAAGTACTTACACCAAACCAGAACATTCTCAAAATCAGAATTTTCTGTTTGCAGCTACTAATCCATGACATAAACTGGAGGCAAGCCAAATTCTTAATTTTTCTGCCTACCACTCACCAAGGTCCCTATGGGGAAGATGTATTCAACCTTGAAAAACAATAATTTCAAAGCATGATTTCAGTAGAAAAAAGAAACAACTCTTCCAATAAATTGTAAAGTGTGAATTCTCAACATTTTTAAAGGTCTTGGCACTAATAAAATTATGCAAAATAAAGCAAATTATATTCAGTAATCTCCCTTTATCCTCTTTAGGTGTAATAAAGGATATACTCTGAATGGTGCTAAAGAATCTTCCTGTCTTGCTAGTGGTTCTTGGAGTCATTCTCTTCCTGTATGTGAACTGGTCAAGTGTTCTAGCCCTGAAAGCATAAATAATGGGAAATATATTTTGAGTGGGCTTACCTACCTTTCTACTGCATCATATTCATGTGAGAGTGGATACAGGTAATGTCCATAGACACCAGCCAAGCTTCTAAAATACCCTGTTACTCATTACTTACTCAATAGGTTTCATTTATATGTAACTAGCTGACTTTAGACACAAGTTTCTAAATGTAAAAGATATTCTCAAATTAGTGTGTTTCAGGAAGACCAGCTTATATAGGGAAATATTTCAGCTAACTTTGACTCTGGGAGTGGTAGTTGAGTCACTATAAACATTTAGTCAATTAACACGAAAACAAAAACATGTTTGTGAGGCTTACTACAATATCTGGATTTTTTTTTTTTTTGTACATAAGTTACCATGCTTATACTGAACATTGCATGGGATGTTGCAAAAAGCATATCAGGGCAAGGGCCCAGTTTCTTAATACCGCATGAGGTTGATTAGATCAACAGTGTACGCATGGGTGTATGTGTGTGTGTGTGTTCAAATAGAAGGGACAGTAGGGACAGGCTGTAGCCAGAAACTTGGCCAATGGGATCTGAAGTGAAACAGATGCAGTGAAGAGAAAGTCAAACGATACAGTCAGAATCAGGTAGGCAGACAAAGGTGGAGAAGCCACGCCACTGGGATGCGAGGTTTGTGAAGTGAAAGGAAGAACAGAGGTCAGAGTCATGAGCAACACAGCACAGGTGCCCAGGCTCAGGACAAGGACAGTGTGCCCTTTGACCTCAGCCACTGTGACTTCCTGGATGTCTCTCTGCTCTCACTGGATCCCAACCAGCCTATTAACCCCTTCTCATCCAGGGGCTCTGTCTGTGAGGACTGGAGCCCTACTGCACCCCCAGGGAGCACATTTTATTTTGCAGCCCTTGTGATGTGGGTTTAGCCCATTCATTGACGGAAACGCTCTGGAGCCTGCTCAGGTTCCCTTGCTCCGATAGAATCAGCTCCATGGCAGTGAATAATGGCCGTTCCTTCCCAGCTTACAGGGCCCTTCTGTCATTGAATGCTCGGCCTCAGGCAGCTGGGACAGAGCGCCACCTACCTGCCATCTTGTTGTCTGTGGAGAGCCGCCGGCCATCAAAGACGCTGTCATCACCGGAAGGAACTTCACTTTTGGGAACACTGTCACTTACACCTGCAAAGAAGGGTGAGTGGCCCTGCAGGAGAAAGAAGCCTTGGGAGCCCCAGGGAGTGGACGCGCCCCCAACCATGGGGATGGGCTCCGTCGAATACTAGATCAGGTTTCCTGGCCTCCAAAGCCAGAGAGAGCTTTATGCTCTTATTTCCTGACAGCAGAGACGGAGCATATAGTCTCCTGTGGCAACAGTGGTTTCCTGGAATTAGAGTAATTTATCACAGTAGGCCTCGAATAAGGGACATTGGGCAATGCAGTGGAAACCATCTTTATACTTAAAGATGCAAAAAAGGACACTTGATTAGGCATTTGTGTATTTCTGCAAAACTGAAGGCAAGACTTTGAGTCACAACCTAAAGATGACGTGTCCACAGGGGAACAAAGATAATAAAATTCAGGTTTTTGTATTTTGAATGATCTCATTTCATTCAGAGGTAAAATGTGAAAAGCAAGGAAGCAGATCACAAGGAGCTTTCTAACTCCTTACAAAAGGAGTCTCCCTGGGTGGCGCAGCGGTTTGGCGCCTGCCTTTGGCCCAGGGCGCGATCCTGGGGACCCGGGATCAAATCCCATATCAGGCTCCCGGTGCATGGAGCCTGCTTCTCCCTCTGCCTGTGTCTCTGCCTCTCTCTCTGTGTGACTATGATAAAATAAAAATAAAATTAAAAAAAAAGGAGTCTCATTCTCCTTACAAAAGCCCTGCGAGGTGCAGAGAAAGGGGAGGGGGGGCCTGGGGTGGTGGTCTGCTTTGTCTCAAGAAGGTGATAAGCAAGTGAGAGTAAGTGAATCCCAGGACCCCTGATGTGCATTTCATTGCTTCCCACTGCACCCCCCCCACCCACCCCCGTGCTTCTTCAACAAATATTTTCACCATGAATAGTGCTTTCGTGCTCCAGATTTGACCACAGGTGTTTTTGACATAGTTGGAAGCAGCACTAGCAGAGAGTTGCCACCTTCAGGATTTACAGCTCAGCTCTGTCCTTCACTGTGTGGCTTTGGGAAAATTGTATAGCCTCTCTGTGCTTTGAGTGTACTATATAAAAACAATTTCATTAAAGGTTCATACTAACGGATACTGTGAGAAATAAAATGCCTAGTATAAAGCCTGGCCTACCCAGGTTAAAAAAAAAAAGGCCTTCATTAATTCAACCGACTTTGCCATTATTATGACTGAAGCCCAAATGAGAGGGTAGTTTCTACTCTATCGTAAGAGTTGAAGTTCCTTTCACTTGGATAGAAGACAGTCCTGGTCATACAAGACTGCCAGCAGGTGGCGACAGTTCGGTTTTTAGGGGTTTTTGTTTTTGTCTTTTTGCAGAAAGCTTCTGAGAGTCAAACACTTGGTTAAATAGTTGATGGAAATCCCAAATCTTAACACCTTCTGAAGTGAAAAAGAAATCTTTAATATTAAATTGGAGGAGGATGAGTGAAATAGGGGAAGGGGATTAAAAGTATGCTTATCTTGAGGAGCACTATGTGGAGAATTGTTGAATCACACTCTTGTACACCTGAAACTGATAGAACAACACTGTGTGTTAAGTGTACTAGGATTAAATAAGTAAATAAAATGTCACTGCAGGAGTTAGCTTTTGATGGCTCCATCTCTATCTGGCCCCCACGGTTTGACTCCTTTAAAAACTGCTTCCCAACGAACTGCACAGGAGTATTTGAGATTAGTCATCTCAGTGTTGGTGAAGTCTTATCAACTATACATGTTCCAGATAACAGCCAGATCTTGACAACCTGTGGGATTTTTTTTCTGATTAAACAGGAAATGCATTATCACCATATAAAACAAGAAAATGGAAAATATCTTTTAAAACATTATCCAAAGATAAACAGTGGGGTTTGACTATCTTTCTTCTCAGAATTTTGTCTTTAGATATATTTTTAATATTAGAGATCATGCGATAGATACAAATTAATATTTTTCTTCTTTTCTTTACAAATCATTCACCTAAAATATATCAGAAGAGTTACAGTTCTGCCTAATGTTAGGTCTCTACGTTGTACAAAAGGGTTTTATTAAAAGAAGCACTAAAGGCACTAATTAAAATTACAACTAGTCCATACATTTGTAGAGGGTTTTCCATTCTCAGAGGACTTTCACGTGCATTATCCTATGTGCTCCCTACTATAATAATGGAAGCTTGGCAAAATAGATAGTATTCCAACCTGAGGTATTAGACCACATTATCCTGCATATTCCTTCTGGTCTCGGCAGGCAGGCACTCTGTGGGAGCTTTTATCTCATCAAAAAAATGGAAACCAAATCTACCCTCCTAAATCACGTGCCTGTTAAAAGGAATGAGAACGGTCTTATGAAAGTGCTTTACAGATCCATGGAGTTCTAGGTACAAATATGGCTTTATTTTCTCTGTCATCATTATTGCTATGTACAGTGATGACACTTTAATAATTTAAGGGGAAACTATCTTAAATAGTTAACCGAATTAAGAGTTCTTAAATAGTTAATCAAACTAATCAAATTAGTAGAGAGTATCTGTAGTTGCAAATCACTACCACCTACATTTTGTTCTAAAAGAAAAAAAAATCAATACCTATGAAGAGAAAATTTCCCTTTTTCTGGAAGTAACACTTTTTAGTGAGAGGAAGAACACTGACGCCCTTTGGCAATATCCCTACTCCACTTTGGGATGCTACGAGGATGGCCAGACTAGAAAGAAAACCCTTGTACTCCTCCTTTTTTTCTGGCCAAATAGCTAATGAAGCATTTGAAATATATAGGAACACAGAAAAGGTAGTTAATTAATCTCTACTTAAAGTTACCTGAGTATCCTTTTTTTTTCTTTTTTTAAGATTTATTTATTTATTTTAGAGACAGAGAGCACAAGTGGGAGGGGCAGAGGGAGAGCAAGAGAGAATCTCAGACGGACTCCGTGCTGAGCTTGGAGCCCAAGGCAGGGCTCAATCCCAGGACCCTGAGATCACAGCCTGAGCCAAATCCAAGAGTCGAACCCATCGCTGACTATGCCACCCAGGCACCCCCCCGGGCATCCATTCTTGAGGGAAAAGCACATGTTTAATTTTTGCCATAGTTCTGCTAGCTCTCTTTTTATCAAAGGAATATAGTATTACAAATAAAGCAAAAAGCCATTCTCACCACCTTCTCATCCTCCTCAAAGTAACAAATGTGCATTTTTGTCCCTCCGTATATCTATGTCTCCATAAACTTTCTATTGATTTTTTTGTTTTAATTGCTATACATGTGGAGGCTTTGTGCTATCCTTTTGAAGTTTACCATGTTTTGTGGGTTTTTTTTACATTTTTCTCTATGGATGCATGTAAATCAACAGAGTTCCTTTTAACTGCTCTATGGTATCCTTTGGAAGAATGAGCTACCTGTAAGTTACCCTTTTCCTTACTGGTAGAAGGTTAATTTGTTTCTACCTTATTTGCTGATGTAAAAGTTCTGAAATAAATGTCTCTCACACATGCCTCCTGGTACACGTAAGTTAAGACCATCTCTGGCCCACGTACCCAGAGTTGAAGGTGTTGAGTCATGAAATATGAATATTTTAAGCTTTATGAGATAGTACTTGATATTTATCAGTTGTTTCCTTTATATTTTATTTTGTGTGTGTTTCAAATTTAAGAAATCATCCCACCCCGAGGTCATACTGAATATTTTTGCCTCTCCTGAACGACTCAAATATCTTGGAAAGCACAAATTTCTATCCCATCTCTCTTCATAAACATCCTATCACCATCTATATTTTGCTTCCCTCTTCTTTTACAACTTCTCAAATTAGACATTTTTTAAATATAGCCAGTGTTTACTTAGATTTATTCCCAGGTTTATTAATCTCTCTTCATCACCGTTGCTTTTTGCATCTCATCCCACCCTTTTGAGTTTAACATTTCTGCTTCCTGAAGTATATCCATTATGTATTTTTTTCCAGTAAGAATCAGCATAAATCTTTGTCTGAAACTGATAGTATTTTTCTAGGACACAGATTCATGCCAGAGACTCAGCTATTACTCTGTTTCAACTCCAGAGTTTTATTTCCTGTCATCTCCTCTTCCCTTCTCCGTCTAATCCGATGGCAGTCACAGCATTGGATCACAGGCTCACTTCTCTGTTGTTAATTTCCTCTTTATTTCTAAAGAAATGTGTGCATCTAAAATAACTTGTTATGTTTCATCAAGTGTGATATAGGGAAGGTTTTCAGATTATGGTGTAGCCAGAACTAGGAGTTTTCTCTCTTTACTCCTTTTCTGTTTCTTCCCCCTAAGGAACTGATTGGTGTAGGCCAACATCCTCTGTGTCCGCTATTCTGGGATGGCATCACTGTATTCAAGTCATGGCTTTTGTGCAGTGGGCCTATTTGTGCAATGGACCTGACGTCTCCTTTGGCTTCCTGAGATGCTGTTGGCCTGAAACGAGGATTAGGGCCTCTTTGCCTCTCCAGCCATTTCAACTCCCACTGCCCTGAACACTCTGTGAGCCACCCCAGCCTTCTTCTCATGTGCACACACACATTCTTACTTTGGTCCCAATGTTGTTTCTTCTCATATTGTTGTTGTGCTTTGCCCAGACCTTCCCTTGAAATAAGGGGGAAAGAATCGATCTCAACTTCAGGTTGGAAGAGCAAATACTTTAGGAGACACGAGTAATAAGATAATTGCCAGGGAAGGAGAGAAGCAAAAAGTACACCTCTTGCCCTAAAATTGGCCTTCCACCTTTACCTGTTACCAAAACACAGGGCTGGAAGTTTTCAGCTGTTTGCCTAAATTAATAAAGTGATAACTTGTTTCCCATTTCCCTTTTCATCCTTATGTGTTTACTCTCTTGGTGAGAAGCTCAGAGGGAAGGAAGGGTCATCAAAATCCTAAAACCCTCATAGAAGGTTCCCCCTTGATTCTTCTTAAATGTAGATTTTTAAATGCAATTACTGAATGTACTAAGATAAATTTTTTGATCATTTTTAGCTGAAAACAGAATTAACTGCTGACACTGATATCTACTTTCCACTGCTTTAAGTTGTGAC